TTTTTATTTTTTTTTAATATGTTTTTTATTGATTTTAGAGAGACAGAAAGGGAGAGGGATAAACAGAAACATCGACTGGCTAACTCCTGCACGCCCCCTAGTGGGGATGGAGCCTTCAATCGATCTCAACCACTGAGCCACACCAGCTGGGCTGTTCTAGTTTAGTAACAAATTGTTCATTAGTTTAAAGTCACACCTCATATTAAGAATGAGCTTTATTTCTTGTATTTAAGAGAGTAAACTCACATCACTATGTATGATTTCAGATTTTTAAATGTTTGCTATTTTAGAATCTCCTAAAGCTGCTTATGTGCATACACTATGACCTGGTGATTCACTCCTAGGTACATCTCCAACAAAAATACACCCGTATGTTCACCACAACAGGCATTTGAATGTTTATAGCAGCACTCTTTTTTTTTTAATTAAATCTTATACCAAATTAACTGACATATAATCTAGTTTTATAAATAAAACAAATGTTTACTTGGCCCTTTTTTATAATAATTATTTCAAATTAACATCTTTTTCCTCAATAAGTATAATTTGTTTTCTCATGAAGAAAAATAACTTTTTATAAGAATTTTTAATTAGTTCCTACTTCAGATATTCAATCTATGTCTACTCCGGGCACGTGGATTATAATTGCCAAGAATCTATTATAGTGATAACATCTGCAGCATGTCCAGCAGTGCCATTAATAGCTGTTGAACTAAATTCATGTTTCCACTGGTTTTTATTTTCAAACTTATCATTTTATAATTTCAAAAAAAGCATAAGTTATCTGAACATTTATTTGATGGCTATATACTTACCTCTGGATAACTGCTTCATGAATTCTACGATACATGTAGCATTCTACAAACAGCCATGGTGAGTAGAACCACCTTGGTTTTCCATCACTGTCATTTAAAAGACCCTGTTGATGTTCTAGGTACTGATTCCATATGTCAGTATCAGCAAACTTCTCAACCAAGGGGACAATTGGTTTGTCTGTCTGTGATTCATTCCGCAATTTAGAAAGAAGAGAAATTGCTTTCTTTTCAGCTTCTATGCCTTTCTACAGAAATAGGGAATAAACATTTACACATATTAAAAAATATATAATCTATATGTAAATAATTAAATTTTATATATACTTTATATTTAAATATACATGAATACTTCCTCTAGGGTACCGCATTTTTATGGACCTAAACTTAAAAAGGAAAGAAATACTATATTACAAAACTATATCTTATGTGTTCACAAACTATTATAAACATTTAAATTTAGAATTAAGTTGAAAATCATATCACACACACACACACATCTCATATCAACATTATCCAGCCTTATCTATTCTGCCAGGTTTTTTTTTTAAGTTTCATCTAATAACTAGTCACTTCATTATCTTCAAGTGGAACGACCATTATCAAAGAGGGGAAACAGCTTAGTATGTTTGCTAAAGATTTAAGAAAATAATTAAAGTTCAAATACATTTCATACCTCTCCATGTTTCTCAAACATTTCATTTTTATGTCGATGCAATGTATCAATAGCCTTGGTTAAGATCTGTGGTATTCTGTCTTTAATTGTAAGATATGCAAACGACCTAGAAAAAGGAATCACATACATAGCGTATAACTTGGTAGCATTGATACTAGAAGATTGGTCATCTTTTAGTTTCTGGGGCAACTCATTTAAATTAAAATTCCTTTTCTTACCACCATTATAAGGAAAATCAGCATTATCTGGCTACCACTATATTAAGACATAGGAAAATCTGACAACTTCTCTGGTATGTCATCAAAGCTAGGCAGTCTTTGTGCCTCTAACCCCAGATTCTCCCCGGAAATCTGTTAAATCCTTACCTTTCCCGATCTATTTCTTTTATTCTCCTTAATCAGAAATTAGTTTAACGATGTGATAGGACAAAAAAAAAATTACTCTAAAAATCAAACAGGCTCTCCTCCCACGTCAATTGCTAAGTGACACCATCTACTTAGAATGAACAAGGCCGTGGATGTGAAACGGCTTGCAAGACTCTACTGTATTAGAAAAACAAAGATAGTTATGATCCTGCTTCTTTCTTTTCTCTGTCTTAGCCAATTTTAATTCTTTTCAAAGGCTTTTCCTGCTGCCTTCTCTACCTGCACAAGGACTCCTTCCATCCTGTTCTGTCCCTAAGCAAAATTAAGGCATGTTACCAGCTCACACTCCCAAGCAAAAAAAAAAAAAAAAAAAAAAGGTTTTCTAAAAGTGTAAAAGAAAGCTAGATAAGGGAAAACTTGAGTATATTTGCATTTAAAAATTAAACATAGTTGAGTTTAGACCTACAAACACCCAGATTTACAGATTATCATTTTATATGTAATGAAATACAGCACACAGTTAGAAAAAAAGCAGACTTTAGCCAGTGGTGAAATTCTGTGCAGTTTTTAGAGAGCACAAAACTTAGCTGATCAATTCACTTACATCATCAGAGACAAAGTAAAAACAAAGAAAGTTGACATAATCATTTTGTAAATACCTCTGCCCAAACACCTATTCTAACTTTAACTTGGGATCAGCACAATTCTGAAAACTCAAATATCTCCCTGGCCAGTGTGGCTCAGGTGGTTGGTCATCGCCCAGATGGCCAAGATAGGGAGCGGGCAGGAGGAGGCAACCCACTGATGACGGACGTTTCACTCTCACACTGATGTTTCTCTCTGCCTGTCTCTCTAAAAATCTATTAGAAAAAACAATAGCCGAAACCGGTTTGGCTCAGTGAATAGAGCGTCGGCCTGCGGACCGAAAGGTCCCAGGTTCGATTCCGGTCAAGGGCATGCACCTGGGTTGTGCGCATATCCCCAGTGGGGGGTGTGCAGGAGGCAGCTGGTCGATGTTTCTAACTCTCTATCTCTCTCCCTTCCTCTCTGTAAAAAAATCAATAAAATATATTTTTTTTAAAAAAAGAAAAAACAATATAAAAACTCAAATATCTTACTGAAATTTTTTAAATATTGGGTTATACCCTGAGTAACTGAGGTTTCCTCAAAAGACAACGATAAAACTACACACAGATGCCCAGCGGGGTGGCTCAGTGGATGAGCACCGACCCACGCACCAAGCTGTTGCTCAGGGCACATGTCCAGGCTGCAGGCCAGTCCCCAGCCCGGGGCGCTCAGCAGGCAGCCCATATCCATACTGATGTTTCTCCCAACCTCCCAACCCCCTTTCTCTCTAAAATCGAGAACATTTTTTTTAAGTATAAATTTTAAAAAATCAGAAGACGCCGATTCTGTGTTACTTTGAGTAACCTAAAGTGGTTAGGTTATAATTTGTGTGATAACCACTGTAATCAGAATTTACCGTTTACACCTCACTAGGAGGCCTGGCACAGTAATTCTCAGTGGGTTAGCGTGCTACCCCCGTGTGCCAAGGCTGTGGGTTTGAGACCGGCAGGGCGCATCCGAGAATCCACCAGGAAATGCATCCATAAGTGGAACGACTAATCAATGTTTCTTTCTCTCTCGCCCTTCCTCTCTGCCTAAAATCAATTTTAAAAAATGGTTTTTAAAACACTACTAGCTCCCCGGGGGGAGAGAAGGAGCGTTAAGTGAGGTGACACTGGAGTGCTCCCAAGCAGCAGCCACAGAGCAGTGCTTTGAAGACTGTTCTTGGCTGTCAAGCTCGCATTGCGCTTTCTCCAGCTGCGAAGCGTCCTCAGAGGCCTGGGCCCGGGGGCAGGAACCCTCCCGGTCAGGGTCAGCGCTCGGGCAGTGCGCGAACCCTCCTCCCGGCCGCACCCCCAAGTGCCCGCCGAAAGGGGGGCCACCGGCGTCTCCCTCTGGCCTCCCTGGAGTAGACCGAGGGCACTTTCTTACGAGTGTTCTCGTGTTTTGCAATAAGTTGGAAGAAGGGCATAGCTCCAATAGTAAACGTGACCGTTCAATTTCTACCAACGGAGTTCTTTTACGGTGTCCACAACTTTACCCGCTAGGGTTCTCATAGCAGGATTGTGGCTTAACCTAACCGGCACGCTGGAAGAAACACATCTCCATACATCTGACTCCTTTCACAGGGAATTTGACCACCACCTCCCTCGGCCCCGCCCCCGCCCCCCGGAAAGAAAGCGCGTTTATTGAACCGTGAAAGCCATGCTCCGCAGCACCCAGAAACCGGCAGGAGGGCGTCGCACATGCGGGGTAACACCGCGGCACAGACCACAGCGAGGACAGGGGGCTGCCCGGTGCGAGCGGCTGTTGGCGCCCGAGAACGCCGGCAGGATCGCGGCGGGGTCCGGGGTGGGCTCAGCCGGGCTCCCGGCCCGGTCCCGGGTCGGGGAGACGCCACGAGCCACCGCAAGGAAGATGCTGCGCCGCCGGCCCGAGCGCGGAGCCCGGAGAGCCACCCGGCCCCGCCTCGCCCCCGCGCAGCCGGCCGCCCGGGGAGGCGCCACCCGCCGGCAGGACTGAGCCGCCGCGCGGCTTCCCCGCCGGTTCCCCACAGCCTCCCGGCGAGGCCCGGCTCACGCAAAGCTGGGGAAGAGGAAAGAGAGCGGGGCACTGGGCGAGGCAAGCGACACCGACCCTTCGTCCTGTCCCGACAGAGGCGGCGGAGAAGCCGCCATCGCCTTCGGCGTCCCCCGCGCCGACGCTGGGGTCTCGCCCGCCGCAGGAAGGGAGGCGGGGCCGGCCCGGAGGAGGAGCTGCGAAGGGCCGCGCCGCGGCTTAAAAAAAAGTGCTTTTGAACAAAGAAACTTTATTTGGTGCCCGTGGAAGGGACAAACAACGGCCGGCTCTGGGACGTGGAGATCTTCCGGGGACGGAGGCGGGACAGCGGAGGGCGACCTGAGAAGCGGAACCCGGAAGCGGGCGGGAGGCGGAAGCCAGCAGGCACCGGGAGGTCCCAGGGACCAGGGAGCGGAAAAGGTCGCGGCGCGGTCACGTGGCCGGGCAGTCACGTGGAACGGGAGGCTCGCGCTCCGCCGGGCCCGGAGCTCTGTGCGCCTGCGCAGTGCCGCGCGCTGGGAACGGCCCAGTGCGGGAGTAGATTGGCTCTGGGGACGGGAAAGCTGTCGCCACCAGGCTCTTTCCTCTGCGGCCGGGCCCCCTTCTCTTCCGGCGGAGAGGTTAGTGCACTGCCTGCCCCGGCAGTCCGTGAGGCCCTGCGCGGGGGCCCCCGCCTGCCTGGAACCTCCGCGTGACAGTGTCACCGGGACCGCCGTGGTGCTCTGCGCGTAACGTGCTCTTTGGTCCACTTAGCGGGGAGTGAAAAGCACTCAGCCCACACACACTTACGGAACGCTCCTCTGAGCCGGTGCAAAGCGGTAACTGCGCAGGTGAAGTAGCTTTGAAGTTAAGGGATTGGAAGGTATGTTCCCAAAGATTAAGGTCACTTGGCCACTGATACTGTTTTCGTAGGAAATGTGCCCAAGAACCGAGTAGCAGCTTTGCATTGCATACAAAAAATAGGAGTTGAATGCCTGCTGTGTGCTGGGCACTGTGGCCAAGGGGACAGCGTGAACCAAAGACAAAACTCAATCCGCAGTTTAGAGGGGAGACAAATCTATCCCTTCCTCTTCTATTTTTCCTTCTAGCATTGTTGCTGTTTAATGTATATTTTGCTGATTTACCATGTTTATTGTCTTGTCAAAAGATAGGGATTTTTAGTCATTTTCCTGAATTTTCCGCAAGTAGGACAGTGTCTACCTACCACATGATAGGAACCCAGTTCACATGTGTTGTGTGTGTTAATAAACTGAAAATGTAAGGTATGCAAGGGATGTTACATGCAAGGAGAGCTATAAAGGGGAGGAAGATAGCGAATGGGTGCTGACTGCATTTTAAATGAAGTGGTTGGGGAAGGAGACGTTGTAGCCAAGGTCTGAAGAAGGTGAGGGAATGAGGCTTGCAGAGACCTGGGAGAAGAGCATAAGAAACAGTAAGTGCAAAGATCCAGAGGCCAGAGTGACGAGCAGAGTGAGCAAGGGAAAGGGCTGTGGGAGATGTTGGAGTGCTACAGCGCCAGAGAATGCGGGGCCACACAAGCTATTTTAAGATTTCTGGCTTTTATTTCTAGTGAAATATGAGGCCATTGTCAAATTTTCTACAAAGAAAAGATGTGATCTGACTTAAGTGTTCAAAGGATCACTTTGGTGACTGTTGAGCAGAATCTGTAGGAGTCCAAGAACAGACACAGGGAGGATACGATGTGGAGCTAGTCCCATAACCTTCGGGAGAGAGAGCAGCGTGGACCAGGGTGGCAGGAACTAGCTGGAATAAAGGGAGTGGGGTTTGCTGACGGATTGGGTATAGAGAATGAAGAGAAGAGCCAAGGTGGCCTCCAGGTTTTGGGCTTCAGCAAAGTTAAGGATGCGATTGCTATGTCACGAAAGGGGGCGAGAGACTGGGAAGAATAGGATTTGTAGGTAGATTTCAGAAACTGAGTTTTGAGAATGCTACATTTTGTGTGTGCATGAGAGTGGTTTAGAGGTAAGTTTTTGATCCTCATTAAGGATTAAGATGGTATAAGATCATGAGGTTGGGTGAGATCACCAAGATCTGAGGAGAAGAGAAGTGGCGAAAATACTGAGCCTTAGCTCGTTCCATTCTTGAGGGGTCGAGAAACCAGCCAGAGACCAGAGGTGCCACCAGTGCGGTAGGTAAGTGGCCCGTGGGGACGCCTAGAAGAAGCCTAGGGAAGAAGGTGCTCCCAGGAGGGTGGAGTGATCAGCTGTATCAGATGTTGCTGATAAGTCAGGTAAACTGAAGACGGAGAAGTGCCCATTGGACTCAGAAATGTGGAGGTCATTGGTGACATTGACAGGTGGTAAAGTGTTCGGGATGAAAGCCTGATTGGAGTGCGTTTGAGAAAAGTCAGAGACGAGGAGTCAGAGACAGCAGATAAAACTCTAAAAGGAAGGAAGCTCAGAGAAAAGGTATAGTATATGGGAGGGAAGATGGAGCCAGGGGAGAGTTGGTTTTATCAGATGGGAGAAATGAATGCATCGTTGTATGCTGATAGGAATGTGCCAGTAAAGAGGAAAAAATAAATGGCATAGAAGAAAGAGGGGAGAAGAGCTGAATCATTCCTTCTATAGAACTGACACGCTAACCACTGAGTGGCACCAGCCAGGGCTTTGAGTGTTTCTTGTATGTGCTCTGCTGGAGATAGAACCTGGTATTATTATTTATTAATTACTGTATTATTTTCCATATGAATAATTGTAAACCAACTTTTGCCCCACCCTAACCCTAAACATCCCCCACCCCCGTCCTGTCCTCCCTCCGTTCCTGTGGTACATACAGTGCTATGGCTACAAGTGTTGTTTGGGGAACTGGAAAAGCCTCGGTTTCAATTACATCGCTGCAACTCGCTAACTGACCAGTGAGCCTCTTTAAGCCTCAGTCTCCTGACCTGGAGGAGGGGGGAGAGATAGAAACATCAATGATGAGAGGGAATCACTGATCAGCTGCCTCCTGCACACCCCCCACTGGGATTGAGCCCACAACCCGGACATGTGCCCTTGATCGGAACCAAACCGGGACCCTTCAGTCCACAGTCTGACGCTCTATCCATTGAGCCAAATCAACTAGGGCCTAAGATACGTTTCCTAAACATCCTTTGGCCCTGTGAGTCTCACATTTGAAAGCTCTGGCTTCCCCCTACCCACAGAAACGCTGTAGGATCGCTTATGATCTGGCCACTACTCCTTGTCAGTGCTGATCGCTGAGGCAGCTCTCTCCCGCCTCCCCTGAAGCTGCACTTGTTTGTCAGGTAAACAGAACTATGTACCTGTGTGTTTGATTTGCTGATCCCTCTGCCCTTTTGAGACCCAGTTCAACTGTCACCTCTGACTTTGTCCTGCCCTCGCCTTTCCCCAGATGCTCCCTTCCCAGGCCCAACAGCAATTCGTGCCGTAGAGCTCACAACATTAATATGTCTGTTTCCCCTGCTGGACAGTGAGTCCTGAGATCGCTGACTCCCACTGTATCTCCACACCTAACCTGTGATTTTGTAACATATTTTTAATTGCCTGCTATAGGCTTACTTGGAAAGAATAAATATTCTATACTATAAATAGTGGGGGAAATTACTTATGTAGTCTGGTTTCTTTGTGTGAAAAGAAAGTGTGTCTATGTCTGTCTGTCTGTCTGTCTGACATCCCGTATTCTCACTGCCATGCCCACCCCCAACCTGAAAAGCACCTTCCCCTTCGAGTAGCAGCTTAAATCCACCTGGGAGCCTTTCCTGACACTTCCTGTAGAGTGGGCCAAGCACCTCTGTGGTTCTCAGTGCCTTGCGATAGGTCTTTGCTAGGGCCTAGAGCAGTGATGGCGAACCTATGACACACATGTCAGAAGTGACAGGCGAACTCATTTTTTTGGTTGATTTTTCTATAAATCTTGGTTTTACTATGGTTGCAAATATAAAAAAATTTCTATATGTGACACGGCACCAGAGTTAAGTTAGGGTTTTTCAAAATGCTGACACGCCAAGCTCAAAAGGTTCACCTTCACTGCCCTCGGGTCTTTTCCACTGAGTTACAGTGAACCGATGGAGATCCTGTCCCCCCAGGAGACCGTTGGCACCACGATGGCAGGGACCCTGTCCTTTCGCGGAAGCATGCCTGACCCCAGCTCATTGCTACCTCATTGTAAAGGCTGAATACATTTTGAATAAAGGAATTTATAAGGACAGATTTTTAAAAATAGATATGCTAATGAAGTAAATGGAGAGTTCTCGAAACTCTTTCTTTTTTAAGGCCCTTGTCATGTCAGCTTTATAATCTTGTAATCTTCCAGAAAAAAGGCCAAAGGTTGATTAGAGGAAAAGTAGCAGAAATACTTGTATCTATTTGTAATCTTTTTTTTTTTTTTTTTTTTTTTTTTGCTAGACTTAGGTTAAGATGTATCTGTTTTGCAAATATTTTTACAGAAATATGCCTGTTACCTAGGAAAATATTATGTATTTTTTGAAATTTTGAAAAACAACAACAACACTTGAACTTTGAATTCTTTTCCTTCTAGCTTGGGATGTGGTCATGTCAGCCAGACTTCTCCATGCCCTGGCCGGATCGCACTGCGTTTTATCAAAAGCATGTCAGCGCCAAAGACTGGTTCATCGAACAGGAAAACCACTTAAGGAACTTGAGAGTGCAACACGCGGCGCCCTGGCGAGAAGTCAAACCTTGGATTTGTTCTTTCCTGATACCGCAGCCGGTGGTTTGAAAGAGTCCCGGGTCCTGGAAATGAACCCGAACACATCAAACACAAGCATGTTCTCTGCATCCAGCACTGCACGTTGCCACGGTGAACAAGCACGCCTCCCCACCAGGAAGTCTCTGGGCCCGCACCGGATGACTCACAAACCAAATCGATTAGGTCCTAAGTGGTTTATAAAAATCATCGAGAGGCATTGCTCATCCACGTCAACAGAAACGCTGGTTCCTAAACAAGACTTTCCGCAGATCAAGAGATCACTAAAAGCTTCGAGGACCCGGCAACCGTCCAGGACCAACCTTCCGGTTCTGTCCGTGAACGAGGTAAAAACATGGTGGGGGCCTTCGGTTCAGGAATAATCGCTCCCTCTCTAGGCTAGCATGGATCGCACACCAGCTCAGCAATTTTTTCATCAAGATCTTTGCCAAAGAGTAAAACTTACTATATTCAAAGGGAATCAAAATCTTAATGTTAAGAATTATTGAGTCAGCCCTGACCGGTTTGGCCCAGTGGCTAGAGCATCGACCTGTGGACTGAAGAGTCCCAGGTTCGATTCCGGTCAAGGGCATCTACCTTGGTTGCGGGCACATCCCCAGTGGCGGGTGTGCAGGAGGCAGATAATTGGTGTTTCTCTCTCATCGATGTTTCTGACTCTCTGTCCCTCTCCCTTCCTCTCTGTAAAAAATCAATATAATATTAAAAAAAAAAAAAAAGAATTAGTGAGACATATAAAGACAAACTATAGGTGATTAAATGTACAAATATAGTTTACGAAAGGCTTAGTTATTGGCCTAAGGAAATTTTGCAAAAGAAGACTAGTGCCAGGATTCTTGTTCCAGCATCTAGAAGGGTTCAGGAAATCTGGAGAAGGGCTGTGTATAACTTAAATAAGAGTCCAGAGACAAAACATAATTTTGAAAAGCAGGGAGTCAGAGAAGACTTAGTTAAATGAACTAAGTTCTCTTCGTCTCAGGACCCCTTGCTTTTTATTAGCACAATTTGTCTTAAGGCGAGGTAGATATATAGACTTCAAAGGGTAGGGTTAGGTACAGAATCCATTGTCAGATTGGAAGAATTTGCCTATGGCTATTCAGGTGTTTGGCCAGTAGGAGGCAATAACATGTAGATGAAGATGCCCTGAGCTGTCTGGCAGCCAACAGTCATCCCTTTTCAGGTTTGGAGAAAGGCCATCAGCCATTCCCAACAGGCGACAACATATGTGACTCAGCCCTTGTTGAGTCCCAAGTTCGATCAACCTTTTGATGAAACTCTTGCAATTATGACATGCTGGAATTGGCTTCCAGGCAGACTAGTATTAAATGCAGTCTAGCACTGGTCCCCTAAAAAAACACCCATTTAAAAAAAAATCAAACTGAAGGAATTCTTTATTCAATTAGGAATAATTTTTTTAGTAGCTGTGCAGACAGGTAAGCATTCATTAGTCCATGGGACTGCATGGGTGGGGTGGGGTGGGGTGGTGAGATGATGTGGCAAGGTCAAATCAAAAGGCAGGGGGAAGGTTTTTGCTTTTTTATTCTTTGAAGGTTGAAGGGGTATTTTTGTTTACTATTACAAGGTATATGGGAATTTCTCAGCTATAATCACATTTCCCGTCTAAATGAGAAATATTTAGGGTCAGGATCAAGCCCTTTGTTAACCTTCCTATCTTGCATAATACCTAGAACTGTGCCTTGTACTTATAAATGTTTATTAAGTTGGGAAGGATGGGAAAGAGGCAAAGGAATTTTTTCTATGTCTGTATTCCTCATCATCAAAAAATAGGAATGTGGCCCTGCAGGTGGCTCAGGTGATTGAGGGTTTGATCTCTGGTCAGGTGTGTGGGAGGAAACAACCAATCAATGTCAATGTCCCCCCCCCCCCCTTCCTCACCCTCTAAAAATCAATAATAACATATCCTTGGGTGAGGGTTTTTTTATTTTTAAAGGAATGTAGAATATTTAAAACTTGATCAGGCCTGCTGAATCTATCAGAAAACAAGTTAGAATGTCTGTCTGAACATCTCAATTCTGAGTGGACCCTAAGCATGTTTAATTTTGTTGTGTGTGTTTCTTTTAAGTATATTTTTATTGATTTCAGAGAGGAAGGGAGGGGGAGAGAGAGATAGAAACGTCAATGATGAGAGAGAATCATTGCTCAGCTGCCTCCTGCAGTCCCCTACTGGGGATCGAGCCCACAACCAGGGCATGTGCCCTTGACCGGAATTGAAACTGGGATCTGTCAGTCCGCAGGCCGATGCTCTATCCACTGAGCCAAACCAGCTAGGGCGTGTTGTGATTTTTTACTGGGCTGTTGGCTTCCTTTGAAAAGATCTACAGACCCTCATTACTGACCTTCAGATTATGAAGTTAGGCATCGACGAATAATTTTCATTTTGGATTCTGCTTTTGTTTAAATTCTTGTATGGCCCCTCTGAACCCAGTATATGAAGGATGGAAGAGCTCCGTGTGAACTTCTCTCATATCTTCTTCCTAGCTCCTGATGTTTTATTATATCATTCAGCTTTGTGATAGTCCAGGAAATCCAGTATCTAAGTGACTGAGATTAATTGAAGCATAAAAACCCCAATTCATGGCAGATACAAAAAGAGGAAGATGAACTCCCTTTTTTCTTTTGTTCTGTCAAGCAGCATAGAACAGAAGCAGGTTTCTTATGAAGATCCTGACAAGGTCAAAGATGTTACTTTTTTTGTTGTTGTCGGTTATAAAACGTCAAAGAGGCATTACTTCTCTGGGCGAGCCTTAGATTCGGGAGCAATTATCCTGAATTCCATTTTTTTATTTTTTTGTAGGACTTTTCTTCTGTTTCAAAGAAAGGATTTGAAGTAGATTTTTTTTTTTTTAATATATTTTATTGATTTTTTACAGAGAGGAAGGGAGAGAGATAGTTAGAAACATCGGTGAGAGAGAAACATCGATCAGCTGCCTCCTGCACATCTCCCACCGGGGATGTGCCCGCAACCCAGGTACATGCCCTTGACCGGAATCAAACCCGGGACGCTTCAGTCCGCAGGCCGATGCTCTATCCACTGAGCCAAACCGGTTTTGGCTGAAATAGATTTTTCAAAATTTAATACAGTGTCAAGTGAGGTAATAAAAGCATTACATTTACAATAGAGCAAACAATTGACATGAACAGAGAAATAAAGATTATCAAGTACTTGGTATGACTAATTCATTAGTTCTGCAAAGCCCAATGATTACAGAAAGGAGGAAATCCTCCTGAGTTATATATTTCTTGTTGTCTTAACAGAGAAAAAAAGAAAGACATAAAAATGTCTTACAAGAAATTAGTTCCTCCATCACCAAATGTTGGGAGTCATTTATAGCCCAGGGCCTCATGTAGGAGAGATTATCTATGTATATAAAAGCCTAATATGTTAACTGTCTGACCGAGTGGTCAACCAACCAGTCACTGTGACATGCACTGACCACCAGGGGGCAGATGCTTCAACCGGTAGGTTAGCTTGCTGCTGGGGTCCGGCCAATTGGGACAGGGTCAGACACATCCTGGAGTCCTCCTGCGGTCCCTCCCGTGGTTCCTCCCCAGCCACTGGTCCCAATCGGCCCTCAAAGGGACTGGGCAAGATGGCCCTGAGTGACCCAGATCGCCAGCCAGGCAGAGGGACCCCATCCTGCATGAATTTCGTGCACCGGGCCTCTAATGTAACATAATTGATGTGACTTCAGTTAGGGTTTTGCAAAAACAGAAACAATGGTCTCTCTAAAAGCACAGGAAAACAATAGAAAAACTTGCATTTCTGAAAGCATTTCTAAAGTGATTGAAATAATATAATTTTGGAACATTGCTTTCTGATCTTTTCATAGGTGACCATAGTCTTGAGATGTGAGTAGGATCTAGCCCTGGGGCTGAAGGTTGGCTTTTATTATCTTCCCCAAGTGCAGGGCCACTTGTCTCATTCATAGAGCTCTAGCCCTTTCTGCCCCTCTGGACCGACTGAGACAGGGAGGGCCTCTCTTTTGTACCAGAAATCGGGTGTGATTTGTCTCGTTCCCCGAGTGCTCCTGAGCTCGCCCACTTTCTCTGCCACACAGCATGGGCATGCACTTGGAATTGACAGAATGAGGTTCATCACCTTCTCTGTCGGAATCAGCTCTGCCTGGTCTCATTGGCAGAGATCATGACCTACTGAGATATCAACCCCCATCCCGTTGGCTCATCATTTATCATGGCGACCACAGTGCTGCTGGCATGTCCTGTCTTTAGGAGCAGAATGCAGAGCATAAGGACCCCGGCCCTGGCTACATGGAGCCCGCCTGTGCAGGGAGTGCTGGAATGCCCGGGCGTAGTCTCAGCCCAACACCACAGTGTATTGTAAACTTAACTAATGGGTTGTTACTTTTTTTATTTCTATAGAAGAAATGAACAGTAAAACCACTTTTTTTATTCTTTTTCTTTTAAAGAGAGAGGAAGGGGGAGAGAGAGAGAGAGAGAGAGAGAGAGAGAGAAACATCAATCAGTTGCCTCCCACGTGCGCACCAACGAGGGATCAAACCTGCAACCTGGGTATGCGCTCTGACTGGGAATCGAACCCACAACCTTTTGGTATATACTAGTAGATTGTTAATTTTTAAAAAAATATTATTTTATTGATATTTTACAGAGAGGAAGGGAGAAGGTTAGAGAGTTAGAAACATCGATGAGAGAAACATCGATCAGCTGCCTCCTGCACACCCCCTACTGGGGATGTGCCCGCAACCAAGGTACATGCCCTTGACCGGAATCAAACCTGGGACCCTTCAGTCCGCAGACTGATGCTCTATCCACTGAGCCAAACCGGTTAGGGCTGTTAATTTTTTTTTAATGAAGTAGAATATGGAAAGTATCAGAATGCATTACAAGTGGTAAAGGTGAAAAATATTGTTTGGGGAAACGGTGTCAGTTGCTGGTGTATGCATATGCGCATATATCTGCTGTGTATGTGAAAGGACTTCTCACCATAGGTTGCAGTCAAAAAGCTTGAAAGCTAAAGCATTGTAACAGTAACGTAAGTACCTGTTTAATGAGCTTCACCTACAATCTGTACATATCAGGAAAGACATGCATTTCCCCCTTATGGTAGGGAAGCAGCATTGCTGTAATGTGCTAATGTTCTTCAGGAACAGAATGTGAACAAAATAAACTTTCCTTTTTAAGACAAGTGTCTCATCAGAGCGTGTGATGCTAACACAAGAATCACATATAGCTTTCTAGCCCCATCTGCTGGAACATGTTTTCTGTGGCCAGGAAAAAAACAACCAGCCATAACCGAAAGTGCTGTGGTTTTCTTGGCTTTCGGTTGTTTTGTTTTTAACATTTTAAAATTGGAAGGCCTAAATTTAGGTCTTAAATCCAAGAACTATTTTTGGTTGGTTTGGCACATTTATTTAAGAGCAAGTTGTTGACCCCATTTTAAAACCTGAAATTTGTACTATGTGTGTGTATGTATAAAGTGCTTACTAAATAAGGATTCATTATAAAAATTAAGTAAAAGACATATATGAAAATGAAAGCTTCGCACAAAGTAGTAACACTTTGAATTAAGAGGAGGAAATGCAAAATCAGGACACTTCATAATTCTCTTTCCTTTTACCAAATAGATTTAAATACCGTCTTGCAATTTAAGAGCAAAGGGGGAAAAAAAAAGTCTACCAAGTCAGACTGAAAAACTCTGTGAGTCACTTATTAGTAGAAGAAGCCATAAGTTAAACAGAGATTCGGGTTAAGGAGGACACAGAAAGTAGTGCGGCAGCCATGTACGCCGTGTGATACTGGCTAGAACTTTTAGCCAAACTAAATGGGACCCAGGAGAGAAGGACACGGGACAATCTTTAGGGAATCTGCAGAGAAGGTCCTTGGATTGGCTAAGGGAAAACAGGTTGTGTTTTATAATCTGACTCTTTGGAGCTCAGAATAAATTTTCTCCTGGAAATGGTGATGAAATGCTTTGCCTTGCCCCATTTTTGAGAGTGCAAAAGAGTGAACATTTTCAGCACAGATGGGCCTGGCCAGTACCAAATGGGGGTGACGTAGACGAGACAGCAGGGAGTGGGAGGCTGTGTGGGCTGCGGGACCCGCCCCTCCTCAACCCCAGTCGATTATTGCCAGTTCTTCCACATGATCAAAAGATGGTGGAAATCTGGATTTTGTGTAAAATTGTAATTTATTGTTGATGGGAAAAAGGAAGGAATTAATATACTCCTTTTCTTGAATTTCATACCAGGGCTGGAACAGAAAAGGAAAGACTTTAGGAGCTGAGATGAATGAGTCCCAGGAATAACTTTTGATTTAGTGACTCACCTCTTTTGATCAGTGATGGGCTAAAGCCCCATGTATATCAAAGGAATAGAATCACTCGTTCTGATCAGTAGATATTAATACAGAAAGTTAGGAATATGTGAATGTTCAGATGTAATTTACTTGATAAACTTTTTAACCTTCCATAAATTTTGGTGGTTTAATAACTGTAAGAAGTGTTGAGCATTTGTGCCACTCAGGGTTCTAAGTAGTGGACGTTGATCACCTTGTTTAAACTTCACAACAACCCTAAAAGGCAGGCATTATTATTATTTTGATTTTTAAAAATTAATCAAATCCTGTGCCTGAACTCTTAGCACCTGTGCCAATAGCTTTTGACTTTATTGACCTCGTCCCGAAGTGAGAAACGTATTTTATATTATATATACATAGTGACCCTGTATACATACTTAGACATGTCTAAGTGACAGAAACCTTCACCAAATAAAATGCATCCTTACTATGAATAATGTACTCTAATATTTTCTATTTTATTCTGTTTAGTTTTGTTTTCCAGCTGGTTTGGGCCACTAAACTGATACCAGGATGCACTATGGGTTGTGACTGACAGTTTGAGAAAAACACTGCACTGGACCGTCTTCATGTGTGTACTATACAGTCACAAATCATGAATGTTTACGTGTACACACGGACGAGACGGTGCAGGAACCAAACCTGGTGCATTCTCAGATATATGAAACGTTGTGCTTAATATTAACCAGAGTCAAAGATCTATAATTCCTTTGTAGATTTCAAATAATCTCTGCTGTACAGGCTAGTGACAGGTTATTAAATGACCTTAAATAATAATGTGGCTGTGAATAAGAGTCAGGGGAACTCGGGGTTGGAGAGACTTTTTGAATAGCATGTCATCCAATCAATCAGTAAATAAATAGCGTGTCACCCAGGCACCCATATGATGCGAAGTCCTCCGTATCTTCGCTCACTCTGTGCCTGAACTCCCAGTAGGGGAGCGGCTTCCCTCTCAGAATAGCCATCCGCCGTCTTGGCTGGCAGGAGCAAGTTCTCTCATACACTCAGCAGCAACCTGCCTGCTTGCTGCCCTTCCTCCTCCTCTTTCATACATCCCTTGTATGAGTCTTTGAGATGTTTGGAAAAACACTAGCTTTGCAAGATGGAGCCTGTAAGGTGACAGCACCCATTGCAGACACTTCGGCCGCCCGGTGACCCCTGTCATGCTAATCTCGCCGAAACAGGGCCTGATGCACTGCACGGCGTTTGCAACTGCGGATGAGTATCACCTGGGCGCGCTCTCTCAAGACCTGGCCTCCCAAGGATATGTGGAAGTGACAAGCCTGCCTAGAGGTACATCTCCGTGAGCCTGGGGCCAAGTATGTCCAAATGCATTAGGAAACGCTTTTCCTCTGATACTGTCTTAAGTCTGCACTTGCTTCAGTTTCATTTTCTATTTAAAGGATTGCATCACAAAAGTGGTGGTTGAACCTCTTCATACAAACAACATACAAAGATAAGAAATTAGAATGTAGTTTATGGGAGCTCAGTTCTCAGATTAAAATAAAAAAGACCTGTTATGCTGCACAGCATCACTAGTACCTTGGATGATGAAGGCCATGGCAGTTCATTGCTGTCGCATTAGAATGTTACTTTAGTGTTACTGCAGAACCAGATTGATAGAGATGTTGGGGAAAGCCTTTAAAGAAAAATTTACCATATAATCCAAGACTTTAAAGCTAAGGAAATGAGCTAAAAGATGAACACAATATTAAAATAACCTTAACCGACAATATTAGACTACTGTCAGGAAGGATTTTTGAGAAAATAGCCTGCCCTATATTAAAAAAATAAGTAACTTGGAACACTTTGATGGAAATTCATGAATTTACCTCAAAGTAGCAAAACTGGTAGGTTGAAAACCCTCTGCTACAGAGAAAGTTCTTACAGGAATTCTCACATGAAGTAGTCCAAATATCATTATGCTTTCTCAGCCTTGATGATCTGAACAGATTGTTTGTTCTATTTGATGGCAAAAACAGGCATAATTGACTTGGAAAAACGGAGCTCTGTCCAGGGCCCCTAAAGCGGAAAGTCACCCTTGGCCGCCGGGCAGGGCGGCCTGGGCGCTGCACACCGGGGCTGCTTGCACCTCCATTTATGCTGCTCGGCTACAGGTGAACTTTGCCCTCTTTAGGGTTTAGGGAAGTTAGAGTTCACCCAAAAAGGTGGTTTAGGGTTTGGTCCCTATCTGAATTCCCTAGCTTCTAGCAGAAATTCTGAAACTTTGAAGATCCTAATTTGAGGTTAAGAAATTATATAACTTTTTACATATTAATATTATGTATTAATTGATATATTAATATATTCATAACTTATAGAATATTATATATTTGTAACAACTTATGGATGAGTATTTGTATATTGATATTTATTTAATATTTAAAAGGTTAAAATATTTCAACGTTACAGGTGACCATGGTGGTAGTTCTCATAATTAACTTTGAAATGGTCAGTAGCTTTGTTTCTGTATATTTTTTTTTACTCTCAATTTACACAGTATCATTTAAAATTCAGGAAGATTAGTCGTTTGAGAATTATATTATTAATATATAAAATTAGAAATAAAATGGTATTTAAAGGATGAGAATATATAAATGGTTCATCACATTTTATTTTAAATTAATTTTGTAGAAAGAAGTTTATTTCTTGAGCTTTAGTTGTATTGAAACTAAGACTTGAATAATAATTAACTGGACTAGTGATTACTGAATCAAAATGGGTATGAATGAGCAGTTTTAAATAGCACTAATAGTTTCACAGGTTGTTGAATGTTTTGTGAAAGTCATGTCCTACGGCCTTTTCCTGTTCATAGAACATTTTCAGAAAACCTTAGTAGGAAGATGGACAGCGTGTTAATAGAGTGCTTAATGGTGTAGGAAGAAATGACCATGAGTTCTTGATTAAACGTTTATAGGTGCCTTTTAAACCTTGTGTCACCTCGTGACATAGCTTTTCAGTCATTTATTTTAAATCACAGATGCAGCCAATATTTTGGTGATGGGTGTGGAAAACTCTGCAAAAGAAGGTGATCCTGGAACAATATTCTTCTTCAGGTAAGACAAGAAAGAACCCCACTGGGAGGTGGACGCGTGGGCAGGTAATGTATGTGGCCTTTAAAGATCAGGTGTGCCTCCCTCCCCTCTCGTAGTGAGTTTGTGGAAATCAAATGTATCCTTTGATTCTTATTATATCCAGGAGGGTTTGTCAGTTTTAGGAATCTTCTGGTAAATCCTCCTGTAAAATAATTTTTAAAAGCTGTAAGTAGCCCTATCCGGTTTGGCTCAGTGGATAGAGCATCGGCCTGCGGACTCAAAGGTCCCAGGTTCGATTCCGGTCAAGGGCATGTACCTTGGTTGCAGGCACATCCCCAGTGGGGAGTGTGCAGGAGGCAGCTCATCGATGTTTCTAACTCTCTAACCCTCTCCCTTCCTCTCTGTGAGAAATCAGTAAAATATATTAAAAGCAGTAAATAATCTTCCCCTGCCTTGTCTCTTTAAGTCTGGATTTGCATTTACTAAGTAAGGTAAAGCATCCATTTTCCATTCATCTTCAGGCCCCTTACATATCAGCCTCTGGCTGCCTGCCCTGCTGCCTTTTCTTCCTTTTCTCCCTCTCCCTCTGCAGCTCTTTAACTGATGTTTTAGCCCCTTTACCCGTCCGGACACTTTCACTGCGACCTGGCGCACACTCACTCCATTACTGAAAGGTTGCTTTAATGTCAAGCGCTGCCGAGTGGCTGAGGGCAACGGTAACGATCGTGGAAACCACTTAGAGTAATTTCATACTGCCCTCCCAACATCTGAGGAAGGCCCATTGTTCCCATACCGCAGCTGGGGAAACGGGAGGGGGCAGGGCGAGTGTCCGGGGAATGAAGTGAATTATCCACAATCAGGGGACTTACAAGTGGCAGAACAGAAACGTGGAGCATCCGGAAGAACCCAGACTTTGGTAAAGGCTTTGTGGTCTTCATCCTTGTAGTTCAGGGTAGGGAACCCTTTTTCTGCCACGGGTCATTTGGATATTTATAACATCATTCTCGGGCCATACAAAATTAGCAACTTAAAAATCAGCCTCCTGTACTTGGTCCAACAATTAACTCACCCGTAATGCCTCGGGGCCAGACCAGATGATTCTGTGGGCCTTGTAGGGCCTGAGCCGGACGTTGCCCCCTGTGTGGCTGATGATAACTGGAAGCCCTATCATTGCCTCTGTCCATGACTCATCTTTTGATGTTACTTTGAAGATAATTCAGAGTTCAACGTGTAGTCCCAGTAGAATAGTGGGAGGAATTTGAATTCTGAGGTCAGTGCCGTCCATTAGAAATATAATGCCAGCCACAAACACAAGCTTCATGTGTAGTGATACATGTTCTAATAGCCACATTTTTTAAAGTTAAAAAGAAGATGAATTTAATTTTGAATAACACTAATAAGATCATATAATGCCTGAAATTAAATTTAGTAGTGTATTTTATTTCCCCTAAGCGTACGGCAGGATAATTTTAAATTTTTCGCAACTGTAGTTTGCATTCAGTATTACTTTGTATTAGTTCCCGGTGTGTGACATTTTACATTCTTCTCTGCATACCGAGTCTTTGAAACCTGGTGTGTTTCACAGTGCAGCATCTCTCGGTTTGGGCCAGGCCTGTGTCAAGTGCTTATAGCCACAGCCCAGCTCCAGACGGAGGGTGCACCGTGCCCGGGGCCTCTCGTGTGCCTGACAGTGACCCTCTGAATGGCTGCTCTGGCTGTGGCTTTAAATGCCTCTCAGATCCGTGTCCTGAGACTCTGTGCTGGCCTTCCGCAACAACTTCCTCCCTGGTCTCCTGCCTGTCTCCTCACCCCACCAGTCTGTGTGCCTGTCACAGGCAGGATAATTTTTCAGTAGGTCTTTCTGGTCACTACCCTCTCCTGCTTAAAGTTCTATGGAATTTGACTCAACTTATCAAGCACAAAGTTCCTCCCTGCCTCCCCCCTGATTGCCCACTACTGCCCACTACTGCCCCACATCCACAGCCATGCAAACTACTAGCTGTTCTGAGAGGGTGCCCGTCCCTCCCTCCTCCCTGAGCCCAGGGTGTGCCCTCTGCTGGTTGCCTCCTCTCCTCCTCTCCTGTGGCTGGCTTGCTGGTCCTTCGGGAACTGTCCATCCGGTGTGCGTCCAGGTATATGCTGCTTAATTCTGTCAGAGCACTGGTCACACGCTGTTGTAATGGGCAGTCTAGGATCAGTCCTGTTGGAATGGGCAGTCTAGGATCAGTCCTGTTGTAATGGGCAGTCCAGGATCAGTCTTTCCAGATTGGGCGTTCTGTGAGAATAGGAACTAGGCTATCCTCATCTTTTAGCCCAGATGCTAAGTGCATTGCTTAAGAAATTTCTGAAGGCTGCTAGGGGGTCAGGATATTTTACCTTCCTTCCATTTCCACCCTTCCTTCCTCCTCCAGGGCAATAACCCAGAGCCATAACTCCTCTTTTTTTAATATATTTTATTGATTTTTCACAGAGAGGAAGGGAGCGGGATAGAGAGTTAGGAACTTCAATGAGAGAGAAACATTGATCAGCTGCCTCCTGCACACTCCCTACTGGGGATGTGCCCACAACCAAGGTACATGCCCTTGACCGGAATCGAACCTGGGACCCTTCAGTCTGCAGGCCGATTGCCTATCCACTGAGCCAAACCAGTCAGGGCATAACTCCCTTTTTTATGTACTGCTTAAACAGCTCCACACGCAGACTGCAGAAATCAAAACAAGTTGTTTATAGCTCTTAGGCCTTAAATTCTATCAAAGCCAGAATTGGATTCCGAGGCTCCTGCGGCTTCCTTGTCTTTCTGCCATAAGCACTGAGGATGGGGGCCTCACTCCCCAGGTGCCTGTGCCACCTGAGGCTTTCATCCATCTCAGTCTCTTCAGTCCACAGCTATGAAGCATGGCCCTCTATTCTTTTCCTATAGCAGAAGCTATAGGACAGCTAAGACGAGTCTCGAAAGTGTCCTTATTCTGATTTTTGTGCAGCAAAATTGAAGCAAGTATACAACAGTCTAGATACATCATTCCATAGTATTATAAAAGAGTTATTTATTCTGAAAACCATGAGAGAAATCATGAATAGTTAAGAGGTCAGGTTTTCTCAAGAGCTCAAAGAGTAGCTTTTGTTTTGGCATATCCACCTAGGAACATAATGTCAAATCAGTAAAAATCACATATTTTTAAATTGCATTCTGGATACATTCTAGAAGTCACCCAAGCATGGCTTTATGTATGGCCCTAAAGCATGTATTCTAGCTTTAACTTCGTTAATTCTTTTATTCTTTTAAATTAGGGAAGGAGCTGCTGTGTTCTGGAATGTAAAAGACAAAACTGTGAGTATAAATAAGGTGTAAAAGTATAAAAATACAGTTTTCTGAGAATAAATTGTTTACGCTCAACAATCTGAGCCACTGGGAGATAAATTAACAGGTAATCTACAACTTGTTTGCTCTGCATTATGTCATATTTATCCTAGCAGTTCATCTTCCAAAATACATTCTGTTTTGGCTTATAAATTTCCTGCATTCTCTGAGCATACGCTAATTTTTGGAGAATCAAAACAATCCTAGGCACACTCCAGTCAGAAGGAAGTATGCTCCATACATGGTGACCTACAAAATGAATAACGTTACACACAGTGAACAGGGAGCTGGTCCTCTGAGTCTTATTTTTAGATCAGTTTTCTAGGACTTTACCACTCACAGGAAACAATTTCTCCAGTACCCCAGTCAGGATTTGCTTAATACAACCTTTTTAGAGGCAGTCTGAGCACACACATCAAAGCTTTCTATGTAACTCGGCGATTTACTCTAGACAGTTATCCAAAGGAAATGGTTGCAGTTATGCATGGTGGGTGATGCATGAGGTTCATCAACACATTGCTTACAATAGCAAAATGGAGAAATAACCAAAATACATGATAGTAAGAAGTTCGTTAAATACTACAAATTTTACGAGTTTACTGTAGTAAATGTAGAATATACTACAGCTCTTAAAAATCATGTGGAAAAATATTCCTAGGAAGTGGTGGAAAATGTGTGTACAATACAGTTAAATTAAAAAAGCAGGTTACAAACTATAACTAATATAGTAGCAGAGTTGGTTAGAAAAATATACCTCATATAATTCCAGTTTTACAAAGAGTAAACACACACACACACACACACACACACACACGGAGGTAACTGGGGGCGTTTCCTGAAGGAAAGGGAAATATAAATGACTGGCAAGAAAAAGATGATACAGATTGGCTATTTGAAGTGATAAAGATGTAAAAGGCTGATAATACCAGGGTTTTTAAAGAATGTTCTCATAAATGTTTGGATTCTAAAATTGGAAAACTATTTGGGAGAGCGGTTTTGCAAAATTTATCAAAATTGTAAGTGTGCATGCCTTTGATCTAGCAATTCCTAAAGAAATAGTCCCACAAGGCCATGCAGATACACACGTACGGATGTGCACTTCGTCCTAGTGGAGAGAGGACTCCCCCCACATGGGTGCACATTTAGGACAGTTAACCAGACTGCAGTTTCTGCATGAAAACGTTCCTATGCGCACTATGATCCCATCCTATATAATAAAAGCGTAATATGCTAAGTGTCCGACCGATCCATCGACCCAGTCAACCACTCAGCCAGTTGCTATGACGCACACTGACCACCAGGGGGGGCAGATACTCCGACCGGTAGTTTCGCTTGCTGCTGGGGTCTGGACGATCGTGACTGGGCGAGAGGGCCCTGACTGGCCCCATCCCCGGCCAGGCTGAGGGACCCCACCTGTGCTCGAATTCGTGCCCTGGGCCTCCAGTTCTCTATAGAAAGCAAAGTAAATGTACTATATACACATGGAAAAAAAGTGGGGGGCTGTGCACGGAGTTGAATGGTTCTCGGGGGATTAGGCGTTTAGAAGAGCAGGGCGAGATTGTCACTTTTGGGACCTCTGTGCTGTTTAAATTGTTTAAACTCTATTACTTAATGTTTTTTAAAAGTTAAATTTAAAGAATATACAAACCATAATTTTACTAGGGGTTTTCTTTGGGTGGTGGGATAATGATAATTTTTATTTTCTTCTTTATGCTCTTTTGTGTTTTCCAAATATAAAGACAAATGAATATATCTTCCTGGTGAGTTTACTGTCACAATGAATTTGCCTTTTCCTTATGAACTGAACAGCAGGAGAAATGCCATCCACCGTAATGAGAACGTCACACACTTCGCACGGAAGGAGCCGGGTCATTTCAGCCTCATCTTCCTTTCCTTCCAGATGAAGCATGTGATGCAGGTTCTGGAGAAGCACGAAGTGCAGCCCTACGAGACCGCCCTGGTGCACTGGGAGAACGAGGAGCTCAACTACATAAAAACAGAGTGAGCGGCGGCCCCCAGTTCATGGGGAGCGCACCTGGGACAGCGAGGGACAAGCAGCCGAGATGAACGATAGATGAATTCGTAGACTAGTGTTAAGAAAGCAGGTGTTGGTACAAATGCAAAGCTTAAAAATACAGGGTGGGCAAAGGTAGGTTTACAGTTGTTGGTATGGAAAATAATACAATAATTAATAAATAATATAAGAACAAACTCTGTTCTGTACTCACAACAAGTAAACCTACTTTTGCCCATCTATAAAATAAAGATACTACTGCATAATAAATACTACTTTTTTTACCTTCTTGGGCTACTCATAAATCAAAACAAACAGATAGCCTAACTCCAAAATGGTAAGCAGCCTAAACCAGTAAAATAGTATGCCTTCATCCGAACGAACCCCTCAAATTATTCTAGTAGTTGTCTCTCGAGTCCATTTTTCCCTATTGATACATTTTTGGCATTAACAGGAATGTAATGAGGGAGTGATCTAAGAGGACCACTTGTAGAAATGGGTCCTGGCATACTATCCCGGGGGGATGTATGGGCTGTCTCGGCAAGGGGTGGGAGTAATGAGAGATGTTAGGGGTAGAGAGAAGGCAGTAGGAACCAGGTAGAAAGGTCTTTTTCCCAGGGGGTTACTTGTCTGGTGGAATACTCAGAAAGGAAGAGCTCCAGGACCATTAGGAAGAGACACGGAAAGCCTGGATGGGTTCGAGTGAGGAGTGATCACCAGGAAAGACGATCCACTTGCCTATGCCAGCACTGGTCTACGTGCTTTTCGTGCATCATTTCATTGAATCCCGGCAGAAACCCTGTCGTTGGAATTAACCGGCTTCCTGTTGCCCAAGGGCACCTGGCCAGGGAGTGAGGACCTGGGCCCATGGCCGCGGTATTTGAAAGTGGGATGTGAACCTAAAAGACACCACAAAATGAGGAGCTGATGGAATTTTAGTAATTATTAAGCACTTGGCCTTGGGCCCTAGTTACCATGAACCCCCTTTTGTGCTCCACCTCCAGATCGAACTGCTGCTTCCTAGGTACTCCCCCCACCCACCCGCGCACACGCACGCACGCACGTTCCGGCCTCATTCTCGCTACCTGTTAGTCTGAGGAGGGGTCAGGTCCTTATTTCTTTGGCCCAGCGTCAGTGATTTGGCTTCATTCAGTGAGACAGCTCACCCCGCCCGCCAGCAGCCCGGCAGCGTGGTGGTCTTGCGGGCCCTGCCTGTGACTCCGGCCGCCGCCCCCAGCTCTGGCGGGGCCTGGGCTCCTTCACGAGTCTCACATTCATGGGAAGACTCACCCCATTCTTCTCCCACTCACTTCTGATGTTTATGTTCCCATTCCCTCCATTGCCCATCTCCCCAGTCCCTCCCAGAGCTCTCTACATGTGCAGCTTCGTTTTTTGTTTGTTTAATCCTCACCTGAGGGTATGTTTTTAATTATTATTTTAGAGAGGAAGGGAGAGAGAAAGAGGGAAACATCCACCCTTTGCCTTCCGTGCGCGCCCCTACGGGGATGGAATATATCAGCCCGCAGCCTTTGACACACGGGCTGACACTGCAACCAGCCGAGCCCCCGGCCAGGACCCCTTAGTTCTCACAGCTGCCGTCTTCCTCCCTCCCACACTACATCAGTGTGATTTAAAATCACACTGTCTATACTTTTAATTCAACACTTTTTTCAGTTAACAATTTATTGTGATTATTTTTCCTTTCCATTAAATATCCTTCCAAGATATGCAGTATAACTTTTTTGTGGGATACTCTAAACAAACCATTCTCCTGTTGAACATTTCTTCTTAATTTTTTACTATTAAACATTGGACCATGACGTTTTTTGTACATAAATCTTCACATCTTTTATTTTCTTAGAATGAATTTCGAGACGTGGAATTACTTGAATCAAAGGGTATAAGGACATTTGTAAGACTCTTGATACAAATTACCAAAATGACCTCTAGAAAGATTCTAAGGTGACTTTTTCAAAAGAAAAAAATTAAGTGCTTTTTAAGACGGACAGGATACATTTTGTTTCCCTCTACACAGGGGGCAGTCGAAACTGCACCGAGGAGAAATCAGGTTAAACTCAGAGCTAGATGTGGATGACGCCATCCTAGAGAAATTCGCCTTCTCCAATGCTCTCTGCCTTTCAGGTGAGTTAACACTGCTTATCCGAGGAAGGAGTGCATAGTCTTCATCTCAAGGGAAGTTGAAGTATTTAGTAAAGATTTGGACATGTTTTTATAGAATACTCAGCAAAGCTTTAGCATTCCTTTTTTTTCTGCAAGAGAGAAAAAATAGAATAGAAATATCTGTGCTGAAGCTCCTCATTCCTTATGAATCGTATGGATAAAGCTTACCCCCTCCAAAAACATTTTATGTTGTTACTACCTGTTTTCCTCTCCTGTGTGGCGATCATTGTTAGCTGGTCTCTAGTGCAGGCAGGAAAGCCCCGCCCTGTGTGACTGGCACAGGCCTCTGGAGAAAAATACACTCGTTTTTCACAGAAAGGGGAGGGTCACATGGCTCTGTGTTTTTCTGAAAGGTCCATGCACCTGATGAAACTGTAGAAGTTCCTTAAGAATTTGTTTGCCCTCAGTCTGCACTGTGGCCTGTCCACACCACACGGGGGGCCCAGGCACTTCTGAGCTGTACTCACAGCCCCAAGGAATTGAGGGGGCGGGGAAGCCTGTCCCTGCCCCACCTATGCAGCCGCCCTTTGTCCCAGGATGTAGCTCATTCTCTCTGGTTTTCAAGCTACAATCTTAGAAAATCAGAAATTCTATTAAATGTAGCTTTGGACTGCCAGCACGGCTTGGAAATCAACTTCATTTCTTCTATCTTTTGCCACTTTAGTGCTGTCCCTTATGATGGTTAACTGTTCTTAAATTTCACTTTCAAGTTGTTAGCAGATTTGCATCTTAGAGCAGCATTCGCCAACCTTTCGGACCTCAGGGACCACCAGTGGTCTGTGGACCACCGGTTGGCGATCACTGTCTTAGAGTATTGTTGACATGGCAGGAAAGGTACTGTGCCCTTCTGCATTCTGTATAAATGTGAAGGTGATGATAAGGAAATGATCCATTGTGAAATTTTTCCCCAGTGAAACTGGCTATTTGGGAAGCATCACTGGATCAATTTGTGGAATCTATTCAGTCAATTCCAGAGGTAATTATACCCATTTTATGCTTGCTTTCAAGGATTGATTTCTGTTTGGGAAAAATGCAAATTTTCCACTATACCCATATATTTAGGAGTACAATAAAATAATAATAAACATTAGGAAAGCTATACTTTAAAAAAAAAAAGAATCCCACTTACATATAAAATGATGAATAAGAAACTTCATATTTGTTTCATTTTTAATTTCCTTTTTCTTTTCTTACTGATTTCAGAGGAAGGGAGAGGGGGACAGAGATAGAAACATCAATGAGAATCATTGATCTGCTGCCTCCTGCACGCCCCACTCTGGGATCAAGCCTGCAACCCGGGCATGTGCCCTGACCAGAAATCAAACCATGACCTCCTGGTTCATGGGTTGCTACTTAACCACTGACCCATACCGGCCAGGCTGTTTTTACTTTTCAAGTGTAAAATTCAAATTACTTTCCTCTGATGTTGCAGTATTCTTAATGTAACTGCATTAAAGAAAAAAAAAGTGAAGTGTTTCCTCTCTCTAAGGAAGTTATGACTTTTCTTGATTAAAAAAGGTATTTTGCTAAATTGTGAAAAAAAAGTGGCATGAAAAATGCATATAAAGTTATATCAAAACTTGAAAGTACATTAAAAATCAAGCTTGCTTTAATTAATCTTTTTACCGTGAAAGAATAATTATACTTGGGATAAGAGTTCCTGAATTTTTTGTGTGTTCATCCTCACAGGATATTTTTCCATTGCTTTTCAGAGTGGAAGGAAAGGAGGGGGGAGAGAGAAACATTGATGTGAGAGAGACACATTGAATGGTTGCCCGCTACATGCACCCCAACTATGCCCCTGGGGCGGGGAGGGATCCTGAAACCCAGGTATGTGCCCTTGATCAGGAATTGAACCCTTGACCTTTCGGTGCTTGAGCCGATGCTCTAACCACTTAGCAGCACCAGAAAGGGCAGAGGTCTTGAATTTTTAATAAAAGATTAGAAACGTACAATATAGAAAATGCTGGTAGGAAAGGAAATGAAAAGGGGAATATAAAATTTCTACCTAATGAGATTAAGTATTTTTTATTAGAGTGACATGATTGGGAAACAGTCATCCAAGAGATGTTTACGTTGGGTAATGCTTCAGAATTTGCTTTATGGTCCTCTTACTTATGCAGATATATGTGTAAGTATGTATGTTTTCTTTTTCCCTCCAAATAGGCTTTAAAAACTGGGAGGAAAGTGAAACTATCTCACGAAGAAGTTATGCAGAAAATGGGTGAACTCTTTGCCCTCAGGTAAAATGTTCCCAGTAAATATTTCATGTATTTAATGATCTCAAGAAGACATTCCTGTAGTTCTACAGTAAAGAGTCAACATTTGCACCTTTGTGGGACTTGGAGCTGTTTTCATTTCGTTCTTTATAAGCATGGAGAATCCTTACCTATGAGAAGCAGTGGGCTGTATTAGGCCTGAACTGAAGAAAGCCTGCATGTACAAAAGAGATCAGAGTTAATCTGCATTAAACCTACATGAGAGCACAGGTGATGTTCTTTGAAGGTAGGAAGATACCTTCTAGCATTTGGATGATGGGAATTCTCAGTAAAAACACGTCACTGCATCAGAATGCTAAATAGATCTAATTGCTCCAGACAAGCTATATACCACATTTCATTGATAGACACATAAGATGCCCCAGGAGAGGAATGGCTGCCACTTAAAACTATGATACTGTGCATTTTTAAAAATATATATTTTTATTGATTTCAGAGAGGAAGGGAGGAGAGATAGAAACATCAATGTTGAGAGAGAATCATTGATTGGATGCCTTCTGCACGCCCCACACTGGGGATTGAGCCTGCAACCAGGGCATGTCGCCTGATCAGGAATCGTAAAGTGACGTCCTGGTTCATAGCTTGATGCTCAACTCCTGAGCCAGGCCAGCAGGGCTGTGATACAGTGCTTTTTTATCACAGAGCTTCGATCTTGCACTTGCTGAAATAGCTCTTTTAGTTTTATTTGGGTGTAAATTCTATCACATTCTCTCTCGGTCATACATAAAAAGGAAAGCATAAGGGAAATAAATAAAGGCATTGACATTTAAGTCACAGCTGCCACCTGTAAGATAACATACCAGTTTTAAAGATGCCTCCCATTTTCAGAGATGTTAAATTGGGAAGAACTGTCTTAAAATTGATGAAACATAGTAATGCGTCATTTTAAGTAAGTGTGTGAAAAAGTTCCAGTTTGTTATTGTCATTTTATGGAAGGGAAATCTTGATTCTTGGGAGTTGTTTCAATAGGCCGCCTTGTTCAGTGTTTCATCCCCTCCGGTGTATGGGATGAGACTAGAGTTCATTGTAAGCAGTTGACCTGAGATTGTTTTCCACATCCTCTTTAGATACTCGGCCTGGAGAGCGGTGGTCCCTGTTTCATCATCTACGCATTTCTCATAGCTCAGGGACCCTAACTCAGGGTGCATCCACCAGGAGCACCCACAGCAGATCTAAGCCTTGAGTTCTGTAAGAGGTGGGGTAGAGAGAGCCCCTCCTCTTGTCTTGGGAATGCAAGCAGAATTTGATATAGCCAATTATCGTATCAAAACTCAGAAGTTAGGAATAAATATGCTTAGGTTTGTGAATAGTTTCTGTAGAGTCCTGCTGTTCTTATCCAAAGTTTTCTTCTCTTTACAATAAAAGTGCTCGTGTTATTAAAAGGAATGTAGTCAATCTGTGATAAAAACATGCACAAATTATATACGGTATGATTGCCTTTGTGTAGACCAACAAAAATAAATACCCATATTCATCTTGATATGTGTACATACCACACATACTAGTACATGTGCACACATGCATGCGTGTATGCACAGAAAAAGGTCTGGAAGGACACAGCAACATGTTTGCAGGGCCTGAAGTATTTGAGTTGTGTGTTGGGTTAAGAGGCCTTAACCACTTTTTTTCTGAATTCTCTAGGTTTTTCCTTTTTTATAGTAAGCTATTTATATGTTACTTCTACAACTTAGGTTTCATTTAAAAGTAAGCTTACTCCTCTTATGTAAAAATAGATAGAAATTACGAAAGAGATAATGTCTCACACACACATACACTGGAAAGCTACAGGGGAAGCTAGCTAACAGTGTTTACCTGTAGAGGGTAGGGGATAGAAGAGAGGGAAAGTTGGTAATAAGAAGAGGAGTAAGAGTGGTCGATCTTTACCTTTTTCTTTTTTACTTTGAGCCATGTTAATTCCTATCCACACAAAAAAAAATATGTTTGGGTATACTGTAAAACTTTTTAATAAAAAAAAGTAGAAACAAAGTTTCATTTTGTTTCCAAATTACTTCATAAATAATACTAATAGTAAAGATTGAATTAGCAATTTTTAAAATTCTTTTAAACTTGTTTCTCAGAAATATTACAAAGATCAACAATTGTCAATAAAGCACTAAGTATAAAAAATAATAGAGACCATGATTTTTAATTCAAGATAGAAAATAAAAAGTTATGATTTTCTTTTTTTTTAAGACACCGTATAAACTTGAGTTCAGACTTCTTGATCACTCCAGATTTCTACTGGGACAGAGAAAACCTGGAAGAACTTTACGATAAAACTTGTCGGTTCCTAAGCATCACTCGTAGAGTTAAGGTATGTATTTGCACTATTACGGGGGACACAGTGTTGCCTATAATTTGCATAAACTATGGAAGACAAACTTTAAGAAACTGTATTTAATTGCTTTTGGAGAAATATTTGACTTCTGTTCAGATCTCTAGATTTCCCCTTTCCCCTTTTCTGTCTATAATTTTCAACTCTTTGTGTAAAAGCGTATTCTGATCTTTGCTCTGCAGACTAGATAAGATTGGTGAGAGTTTGGAGGCCTAGTGGCCCATAAGGAAGTTCTCATCAAGTTTCAAACGATTTTCATGGGGTCTGGAACTGTAATAGTGACGGCGAGAATAGAGATGCATTCTTAGAAAAATCCTCTAAGCAAATCAAGTACTTGGTCATGGAAGGCCAGGGAGGGGAAAGAGTAAGGATGATGATGTTTGTCTGTGAACGCTGGGTAGAAAAATGGGAAGAGAGGTGGGGAGGAGGAGGTGAGAATGTAAATTTAAGATAAGCTGTACCGGCTCACACAACAGAGCAGGGCTGAGTTTGGAATGGGGACTGTCTGCTGCACAGACCCAAACAGGTCGTCAGGCCTGCTTCCCTCCTCAGCAGACTCCATACCAGTTTGGCCTCATTCTTTCCTTCTCAGCGGCATTCTCTGAGAGATGGGACAATGGGGTGTGGGGAGAGGGGATATCCAGACTGACATTCACTCTGCTGGCAACTTCAAAGGATCGGGACATGGGTCTGAGCCCGGGTCTGAACCTACCCGTCTACCCTCTGGCTCCTCGGGAGGGTTTCAGGTGGCTGATACCCTGATCAGCATCATATGGTAACTCCCTGAAAGAAGGGGGGCAGGAGGGAAGGGCGCTGGGCAGACAACATAACTCTGAGGCAGAATCAAGTGCCACCGGAGCACTCAGGGGAAGAAGCAGGTCGGAGAGGTGTCACAAAGGCTGTGCCTTCAAGGTTGAAGGGGAAGCCGTCATCTGAAGTGTGATTGGTCCAGAATTGTTTGATGTTATGCAGGCAATGGTAGAGGTTTAAAGTCTTGAGCAGGGGACTGACATGATCTAACCTGTTTGGAATGAGAAGTTGAAACCACTGTGAAAGAAAGGAAACCCCCTGGAGGTCTACCGGTATTAAGACATGGTAAGCAGGACAGATTGGCGCCTCTTAGAGCCCCAGATAACTGTAGGGAGTGGGGATTAAAGATTAAAGGTTTCTGTCCTGGGTAAGTGAGAAGATAGTGACCTGATTTGAGATAGGGCACCCAAGAGGGTAGCCTTGAACAGTAGGTCAATGTGAGTTTGAGAAATGCTAAGTTTTGAGGTCCTGGCAGGAAACCCAAAAGATGTTTTATAGGCAGTCAGAAATTCAGACAAATCAAGAATAAGCATTTATACTTGAGAGTTACAGAAAATAGTTCTGCCCTGGCCCGTTTGGATAGGGTGTCGGCCTGCGAACTGAACGGTCCCAGATTCTATTCCAATCAAGGGCACAGGCCCAGGTTGCAGGGCCCGTAAGGGGTGTGCAGGAGGCAGCCTAGCAATGATTCTCTCATCATTGATGTTTCTATTTCTCTCTCTCCTTTACACTCTGAAATCAATAAAAATACATTTTTTAAAAAAAAAATAGTAGTTCTAACCAGTGGCACCCAAATAAATTCAATAAAAAAGAGAAATTTAAGAAAAAATAAAATAGTAATTTGTATTAGTCTTTCCCAAAATGTGATACATACACTTGTACAACAAATTAACGTAGGTGACACGTGGACCCTGAGATAACACTGAAGCAAGTAACACCTCCACTTACTGTCGAGAAAGGCTTTGTTTGGTGTTAGTGGGTCTTGAATGGTCCTCTATTGGATGCTCATATCCTGTCTTAACAGGTGTCAGACTCAGTTTTGTGTAGACAACAAGCGTAGCACTGGTTTTCCATTGATGGTACTGGTTTTTAAATAAGCATTTCTGTGTACAGTCTTCTGGAACTTAATAGTACACTTGGCACATGTATCACAGAAGTAGTGATGGTAGGACAGAAATGACTGACGTTTAGGAAGTATCTGCACAAACCAGAATAGGTCAGATCACGTAAGAGAGCTGGAGGACAAGGACACGATCAGACCTTTGGGAAATGTCACTCAAAGGCAAGATGAAGTAGAGAAGACTCAGAAAAAGAATGGCAGTCAGAGGTAGACCTTAGTTCTTAAGGAAGGGAAAGCAAAGGAAACATCCATTTCAAAGTGTGGTTAGATGCTTGAGTCAACTGAGGTTTAGAGTCTAACCAAAAGTTGTTAGGTTTCCTATTAGGGGCTTGGAAGTTTCAGGGGAGTGGTGGTAATATATACAATTCCTAAAGCTTAAGGAGTAAGTTGGAGGATGAGGAGGTAGAGGAAGAACATGTAGGTTCCTTAGTCAAAGTTGAAAGAAAATGGAGAGTTGGGTCAGTATTTTGAAGAGAGAAGTAAGCTTGGATGAGCTGCATGATATAAACCAAGACCAAGCAGCCAACAAAACCAGGAAGAGGAAGAAAGGGAGGGAGGAAGGAAAAAACAAAAGCATTGTCCTGTACATTTTACCTAAGAGATACTACAAGGCTACCGTAATGTCCGGAAACATGCTACCAGTGTGGTTCCGTGTGCCCGGGCTCATTAGTAAGGCTGTTTATGTTAGTGCACCATATTATGGTTTTACTAGAGGCCCAATGTACAAAATTCATGCAAGGACCTTGGCCCCGGCCACTGCCCGCCACTGTGGGCAGGGACTTGCCTCAGCCCCACCCACTGCAGCTTTGTCTGGAAGGAAGGACGGCCAGTCTAATTAGCATATTACACTTTTATTATTATACAGCACATAACACATTTCAGTCAAACCCCGAACATGCATCTGTAACGTGTCTCAAATTTCCACTGACCAAACCTGCATCTTCAGCACACCCCATAAGTAATCAAGGGGAATCAAACTATTTTTTAAAATGTTCCTAGACTTGACAATTTCCAAAAGAAAGTGAGCTACAGAGATATTTAGGAGGTATAACTTGCCAGTGGTCACATTCAAGTCCCAAATGCAAATTCTGTATTCTATGAACCCCTTCAACCAACCTGAGGAAGGCATCAGCCGGCAGAACCTCTGCAGTTCAGCGCTAAAAACAGTACCATCTAGTGGTGAGTGTGCAGCAGGTTGTGATATTGTTTGTGAGATGTGACGGTGAATTGTAGTATAAGGTAGGTTAATCATTGTTTCTGTTACCTTAAGGCCATGCTGAATGAACCATGTTTCACCTTTGCCTTTCATAACTGCTAAAATCCATGAGCAGCCACCAAAAAACTAGGACTCAGAAACTAATTTATATTTAGATCTTCCATCAAAACCTGACCAGTAAGAGCTTCAGTATGCAAAGTACTTCTTGCAGTTCAATCTGTACATACAAAATATCTCTAGATCAGTGGTTCTCAACCTTGGCTGCACATTAAAATCACCTGGGAATTTTTTTAAAATCCTGGTTTCTGGGCCTCATCCTCCAGAAATTCTGTTTCTTTGTTATGGGGTGGGGCCACAACATTAGTAACAAAGAAACAGAATTTCCGGAGGATGAGGCCCAGAAGTCAGGATTTTAAAAAGATTCCCAGGTGATTCTAATGTGCAGCCAAGGTTGAGAACCACTGCTCTAGATGGCTGCACGAGACAGGGAATATTGGCAGGTTGCCTTCAGGGAGAGAACTGAGGAGTGAGAATTGAAAGGATGCTTTTTCACTGTATACCTATTTCAAACCTGTACAATTTTGAAGCATGTGACCATATTACTTATTTGCTGAATTAAATGTGTTGAGGTACAGGATACTTTTTATGTCCCTATTTTTTATTTTTTTACTATTTTCCTAATGCAGGTCATGAATGAAAAACTTCAGCACTGCATGGAGCTGACAGATCTAATGCGGAATCACCTGACAGAGAAGAGGGCACTCCGCCTGGAGTGGATGATCGTCATCCTCATCACCATAGAGGTAAGTCACCTTTTCACGCAAGTGAAAAGTTGGCATAGAAAATGCTGGGGAGAAAGAACATGACTTTGTTCCAATTACTAAGTCTATTTGGAAGTGAGGTTAAGTTTCAGGTGGCTACGGTAATATTTTATAAATGCATTCTGATTTAAAAAGTACTACATTTTAAAAATATGGCATTTAGAGAAAGTTCTGGCTATAAATGTACAATGTAAAGCCCACAGCAAGTACCTGAGCCGCGGAGCTGAGCTGCCACATGGGAAAGACATGTATTTACTGTTTCTTCAGAATTCTTCATTAATCGCCACCTTGGAAGAGTCATCTTAGCTTGTACCAGTAATTTGCCATGAAATGATTAACTCTCGCTTTTTTTTCACCCTAAGGTAATGTTTGAGTTGGGACGAGTATTTTTATAATCAAGTGATGACCAAAGGAAAAGTGTTATTGCAAGACATAATTCAAGCTCTACAATCAAAAATAAATGTTCACGGTTGGGGGGAAGTCTCATTTATTTAATAAGTATTTAATTTTTTTAATCAAGAAGTTATAATCTTCTTCTGTTCCTAAATGTATTGCTGCTTAAATAAAACTTATGAAGAATCTAATGCTTGGGACTGTTAACACTGATCACTTGAAAGAAAAATGTCGATTTTAATTTAAAGAACTTTGGATACACTTAGCATCTAGGAAATCTAAGCAAAGATACTCAGTAAAGCCTAAGGCTTAGCTTTTGGACACTGCTACTAACCTATCCCCAGAGAATCCCAATCATGGCCTTGGCTAGGAAACCTTGCAGGAACTCAGGAATTTTATCTACATACTAGAGGCCCGGTGCACGAAATTCGTGCACAGATGGGGTCCTTAGGCCTGGCCGGCTATCAGGGCCTATTGGGGCCATCTCACCCAGCCTCCATGAGGCTGCCGGACAGGGCCTCCCAGATGAGAGGAGGGGTGGGGGAAGAGATCGCAGAAGGTTTGCCGGCTGTGGGGACAGACTGGGGGAGGTTGGCTGGCGGTGGGAGGTTGACTGCAGGAGCACACTGACCACCAGGGGACAGCTCCTGTGTTGAGCGTCTGCCCCCTGGTGGTCAGTGTGCATCATAGCGACTGGTTGACCGGTCGTTCCAGTTGTTGTGGTCTTTCGATTATAATGGTCACTTAGGCTTTTATATCTATATATATAAAAGCCTAAGCGTAAGCGACCATTACAACCGGATGACTGGACAACTGGACAGTAGCTATGATGTGCACTGACCACCAGGGGACAGAAGCTCAATGCAGGAGCAACCCCGATGGTCAGTGCGCTCCCACAGCCAGCCAACCTCCCGTGTCCCCTCCCCACACCCCCACTCCCGGCTGGTCCCGATCGCTGGCCTGGATGAGGGGACCCCACCTGTGCACGAATTCGTGCACCAGGCCTCTAGCTGTCCCACCCCAGTGAATTTAAATGTACTTTTTCTTATATTCTATACATATTGATGAAAACGATTATTCTGTTTAAAATTGAGACACTGTCATTTTGCAACTTAACTGTATAGCATTCTACCAAGAGAACAGACATCCATACACCTACCAATGACTCCATTTGCTGTGCCTGTGAGAAGGTGACCATCCTGGTGTCTTTTGCAGCACTTGGCAAGAGTTCTCAAGTAGCAGTCTTCTGAGGTATTTATACCCCAAGGGCATCAAAGACGTTCCAAGGAGCACATGGGCATGGATAGTTCAGTAACTGCTTTCTAGATCAAGTTCCACACGAGTACCTCCATAAAACTGCTGTGCGCAGGCACACACCTGCAGTCAGTCTTCCCATCAAAACTGTACAAAAGGCATCGCTCACCCAGCTTGAATCCAAGTTTGGTGTCCACTATATTTAAAAACCTTTAGTTATATTTAACCTGTAAAAACCTTTGGGAAGCCAAACAGGACAATTTAAAATACTGGTCAATGAAGCCTCCTTTAACTGAGACCATGATATCCCCACCTAGTAAGAAGGGAGTTTCCACCCTAGCCGGGTTTGACTCAGTGGATAGGGCATTGGCCTGTGGACTGAAGGGTCCCGGCTTCAATTCCAGTCAAGGGGTCAAGGGCACATGCCTGGGTTGTGGGCTCGATCCCCGGGGGGGGGGGGGGGGGGGGGTGCAGGAGGCAGCCAATCAATTATTATCATCATTGATGTTTCTCTCCCTCTCCCTTCCACATATTTTTTTTAGCCCTGGCTGGTTTGGTTCAGTAGAGTGTTGGCCTGCGGACTGAAGGGTCCTGGGTTTGAGTCCAGTCAGGGGTGCATGCCTGGGTTGCAGGCTTGATCCCCAATGGAAGGTGTGCAGGAGGCAGCTAATTGATGATTCTCATCATTGATGTTTCTATCTCTCCCTTCCTCTCTGAAAACAATAAGAATATATTTTTAAAAATTTTTTTCTTAAAAGGGGAGTTTCCAATAAAATTTTACCCCAGCATCAACAAACAATTTGATGTATGGTTCAAGAGTGCATTCATTATAAAACAATTTTAATATAAAAAAACATGAACATATGGTGCCTTATGGTCATGGCAAATTAAAATTTAACATTTCAACTTATACACAAGTATGTTGCAAAGAAATAAAGATAAACAATAAGGCCTTCAAGCATAAAAATTTATTGTATTAGGGTGATGTTTTTGTGGTGGAAATTTAACAAATACAGGTTTCCAAGGAGAAAGATCAATGTTAAATTTTAATCATTTACATAGCTGCATCACCTTGGGCAAATCACTGAACCTCTGGGCCTGTTTCCTCATCTGTCTAATGGGTTTAATTAAAGTACTACCTCAGCTCAAAATCCACATAGGATGAGATTAAACAGAGATGGAAAGGCCCCCCCACCCCCTTGAATCCATAGTTCAGAAACATTACTGAGACTTAGATAGATGTTAATGAATCCTGCATAGACATGTCTGGAGTGGTTCATCTGTATAAAAAAAAGTCTAATTATTTGACCGGGAGTTCAACTGCTTGCTATGACATGTGCTGACCACCAGGGGGCGGCACAAAACATGGCAGGCATTGGTGACGCAGCGCTGGCAGTGGAAAGGCTGCAGGCCCCAATGGGCCCCGATAAGAGCAGGACGGTGGCAGGATGGTGGAGCAGGTGAGCAGGTGGCACCAGGCCAAGGTGGGTGCGAGCGGGGGCCCGATTACCCCATCAATTACCCCGCAGACTGTGACCAGTGGCAGGGGGTGGGGCTGCCACCCAGCTCCCAGGCGCCAAGGTTGCCGGGTGGAGGGCCTGGTCCTGATTTATCACCCCGCAGGGCGGGATGGTGGAGCAGGTAAGGATGGTGCCAGGCGAGGCTACAATTCCCGACGGACCCTACCCATGCATAAATTCATGCACCGGGCCGTGTGTGTGTGTGTGTGTGTGTGTGTGTGTGTGTGTGTAAAATAAAAGGCTAGTATGCAAATCAACTGAATGGTGGAACAACCGGTTGCTATGATGTTCACTGACCACCAGGGGGCAGATGCTCAATGCAAGAGCTGCCCCCTGGTGGTCAGTATGCTGCCACAGGGGGGGCACCGCTCAGCCAGAAGCCCCAAGCCAGGCTCACGGTGAGCGCAGCGGCGGTGGTGGGAGCCTCTCCCACCTCCACAGCAGTGCTAAGGATGTGCGACTGATGCCTCTCAGACTGCGAGAGGGTGCAGGCTGGACTGAGGAACCCTCCCCACCACTGAGTGCACGAATTTTGTGCACTGTGCCTCTAGTGTACATATAAAAGGCTAAATGCTAAGTGTCCCTCCCACCGTCCGACTGGTTGCTATGATGTGCACTGACCACCATGGGGCAAATGCTCAATGCAGGAGCTGCCAAGCTGCAGTGACTTGGCAGCACCGGTTCTTGGGTGACACACCCTGAAACCAGAGAGGAGGGAGCCCAATTCCTCACGGGGCCACGTGATTCCACCTTCGGTCGTGGGCTGTTGTTGCTGGGCACTGTGGGCCCCAAATCTGGTTTACTGCACACTGAATTTGTGCTCCACACCCTGTACGACAGCAACTTTGCAGCGTGCCCTCTCGCACTCTGGGACCCCTTGGCGGACGTCAGAGAGCCGGTTTCCGCCCGATCCCCACAGGCCAGGCCAAGGGACCCCACCTGCCGGAGGGACCCCGCTCACTCCACAGACACCAGGGAGGGACCATGGGAGGTTGGCTCCAGGGTGTGTCCAGCCCTTCTCGCCCAGTTCCGCCCCACCCGAAACCTTCTAATTAATTTCCTTTCAATGTGCACAAATCCGTGCACCAGGCCACTAGTCCTATATAATAAAAGCATAACATGCAAATCAACCGAATGGCAGAACTGGTCACTCTGATGCTCACTGACCATCAGGGGGCAGACACTCAATGCAGGAGCTCCACAGTGGGAGCACTGCTGAGCCAGAAGCCAGGCTCACGGCTGGCAAGTGCAGTGGCGGGAGCCTCTCCCGCCTCCACTGCAGATGGGCAGTAAGGAGTGAGGGAGTCCCAGACTGCGAAAGTCCCAGACTGCGAGAGGGATGTCTGACTGCCAGCTTAGGCGGACATCCCCTGAGGGGTCCCGGACTGCAAGAGGCGCAGGCCAGGCTGAGGGACAGCCCCCCACCCCCACCCCAGTACACAAATCTCATGCACCAGGCCTCTAGTTTAAATATAAAGCAGTTTAAATATAAATATTTCCATTGCTTAAAAGGCTTTTTAAACTACAGATTTTACACATACCAAGTAGCGGCCAGCAGGCATTCTGGGGTGCCTAGATTACTGCAGTAGTCAAAGGCAGAAACGTTTCTATATGCAAAATCAATAGTTTTTAGGATTATCATGTTTTGACAAAATAATCACATCCTCCTATTTTTAATTACTGACCTGTCTTTCTACCACTTAGAGCAGTTTTTCCCAAGTCTGGTGCTCAGACCACTGCTTCAGTAAATAGCTGGGTTTCCAGGGTTACCGATTCCTGTGTTCTACAATCTGAGCCTGAGGCTGAGTTACCAACCTGTTTTTTTACAACTCTCCAAGAGATTCTTAGGCTTACTAACCTCTGAGAACCACTAACTTAGAGCCTACTCACTGGTTTATACTGTTTATACAGATACTGAGTAATGCGCTAGCACCTCTTGCTCCACTTAATGTACTAAGTACTACATCTCAGGGACTCAGTTCTCCCCCTTTCCACACCAATCTTCTCAAACTCCCATCTCCCTGCCTTTACAAATTGCGTCACTGTGCTGGGAGGTGATGAGAACGAGAAGAGGAATATTTTGAGTACCTTCAGTCCAAATCTATTTACTTGCAATTCTTTCTGAGAGTTCTGAATTGGCTGTTTTTAAAGATTTAAAGTCTCTCTTCCAAATTCCCTTTCCTCAAGGGAGAGTTCCTCACAGAGCAGCGGTTCTCAACCTGTGGGTCGCGACCCCTTTGGCAGTCGAATGACCCTTTCACAGGGGTCGCCTAAGACCATCCTGCATGTCAGATATTTACATTAGGATTCATAACAGTAGCAACATTACAGTTATGAAGTAGCAACGAAAATAATTTTATGGTTGGATCACCACATGAGGAACCGTATTTAAAGGGCCAGAAGGTTGAGAACCACTGTCACAGAGGGTTAACAAAACGAAATTTTTTAAATGCTGCATTCTCACTCCTTCAGCACAATGAAACAAAACAGATTTACTGGTACAACCAGTGCTTTCGAGCAGAATGGGAACTGTCAGGAGTCCTGGTGGTTAAGAGAAACCCGAAAGGTGTGTAACCCCTAGAGTGCTGGGAGCGCGAATCGCACTCCTCCTGTCTTTCGCCCAAAGTGCCGGGAGCCGGGAGCACTATCGGGAGCCAGGAGCACTATCGCGCTCCTCCTGCTAGTAGTTCGCTCTTTATTGACAGATGGCACCTAAGTGCAGACTTCCTAAACTGCTGTAAAATCAGCAAAAATGCCTTGGCAATTTTAGCATAGTTCCTAGGATATTGGTTGGCTCAAAGGGTTAAGAAAAAAGCAGCCATTATCCAATCTGTTACAGTAAAAGTGTAAGAATTTACTGCATCCCACGTATTACTCAGAAAAGCATAATGAATTAAAAAAAAAAATCAAGGAAGGCCTTGGAAATTGATCCTAGCTTCACTCACACTACCAATGTCAGGGTCTCCTCCTGCTCCTGTGCCATTAAGCCAAACTAGTCTTAGAACAAATCCTTCTAGCTCCAGTTTCCATGAAAATTTCACAGCAGAAAGTAGTATAGTTGTCTTTACACTCGAACCCTGATTATCTTTAAGTTATAACATCTTTTAGGTCCTGGAAATGTCCTAACTGCTATAGTTATAACAGTAGTACAATCTCGTGGTTCAGTATACAGACAGCATCAGAAGCTAACAAGTAGTTTCAATTCTTTTAATAAGTACAGGTGATCCTTGAACAACATAGCTTTGAACCGCACAGCCCATCTATAAGCTGATTTTTTTCAATAAATATAGTTGGCCCTTCGTATCCACAGACTTCTCATCAATCAAAGAAGCCAGCCATCTCCAGATTCAATCAACCATCGATCAAAAACAGTTCACATTCCCAAGAGCAGTTTCCCAACCGGGGATTCTCAACCATGGATCAAAAAACTGTTTTCGATAGGTTGAATCCACAGATTCAAAGGGCCGAATGGAGAGTTAAAAGTTGAAAGTATAACTACTATTATGTAAAAGCTTGCAAACTGGCAGACTAGAGGACAACAGTTATACACTATAACTTCTTTAGAAAAGATTTCTTAAAAATCAGCCGATTTTCTCATCTTTTCAGCATAGATTATTCATGACAAAAGTCAGAGAAAAACTGGTGTTTTTTCCCCCCGAGAATACATGAGCCCGCTTTCTCAAATTTAAGACTGAGGAGAGAATGAGATTAGATGCCCTCAGAGAAAAAAGTGAATTAAGCATGATAATTACTTAAAGACTGACATTTTAGCAAGGTTTCCGGTTCAACCCTAATTCATCCATAAAGAGGAAAAATATAGAACTGTGTTTGTTACTAAAAACGCCAAATTCTTTGATACTTCTCCTTGAAGACATGAAGATTAATACCGTTCCAGTGGCCACAGGCTGAACTTAGTGACTTGCTTTTAACTCACAGCAAGTGACAGTGATGGTGCGGCTTCCTCCTTGGCTCTTTCTTGTTTCGCTTTTTCTGGGGGAAGCCAAGCACCACCACACCGTGAGGACACGCAAGGAGCCCAATGGGGAAATACTGAGACTTGCCAACTTGGAGCATTAACCTGCTGGAGTGTGGGCCGCCTTAGAAGCAGATCTTCTGGCCCAGTCAACATATTGACTCTAAGTAACCTCGTCAAAGACCCTGACCCAGAACCACCTACCTAATTAAGCTGCTCCTGGATTCCTGACCCACAGAAACTGTATGAGATAAACAAGTGATCTTCAAACTCGGAACCCTGATCCATTTGTGATTGATGAAATCCATTTAAGGCACCACAATCAGCTTTAAAAAAATAAATAAATGAACTAGTTACAAAAGATAGCAGAGTATATAACTGATAACAAGTATTAGTTCCTGAAAATTGTTTCAATTTTATATATTTGTGTACATTTAACAAAGCATATGTCTTAGAATCACAACTGAAAAAGTTTGAAACCCACAAGCCTACACTTAGGTTTAAGACAAAATGTTCCCTAAAGTATAGGAACTCTTGAGGGAATATGGTCTCAACAACAACCAACTATAAAATGAGCATTTTCTATAAATTTTATAACCAAACCAATAAAATATAAGAGACTCTCAAAACACATATTTTCAGACTTATATGTTAAGCTTGATATAAAACACAAAAGGCATGGCAGGCTTGTAAGTGTAGCTTGTAAAAGCATGTCACTGTCCAAACCTAAGAGGTTACCCATAAAATTATGTAGTGCAAAAGCTGCTCTGGGATACACCCACATTTATTAGTATATTACTTTAATAAACAGTGTTAAAGGAAATCCCATCTTCAACCTGCGCACACACACCAATTTCTGCAAAAAACAAGTACAGTATTATTAAATTGCTTTCTGCCCACAGTCCAAGGCTCACTGGACCTATCTCTTCAGGACACAGCAAGCATATTTTTCTCATGTACCTCAGCATAACTTATCAAAACTTTCAGCACTACAAGAGTTTGCAGAATATTTATGTATAACAACTTTTGATGAATCCACTCAGATTATTTATTTGCTTGCACTATGATTTTCTTGGGAAATGTGTGAAACTATTTTTGAACGCCTAATCTGCCAAATGTATTTCCAAAATGCAAACTCAGCACATAAACACTAAACAGAAAATTTAACTTACTTTTCTTATTACTTAATTCAGGTGACTTGTGGCTCTCCCACAACCAGACTAACAGCTTTCCCTGGAGACACTAGTCCTTCTTGCAAAGACTAAGTTTTCTCCCCAAACTTTGCGTATGCATCCATTTCATTATTTCTACTCCAAGTTGCAGAAAGCAGATATAATCTGTACAGCATCCCTTATAATGCTATGACTTGATGGTAACTAAAAGTCAAACTAATTAGCATACTTGACAAAATCTAAGAATGCATGCCTATGCCTTGAGAGAACTAGCAGCAAAACAATTGACCATTTCTAAATTCAATAGCAGCTCTAGCCAGCAGGCGTGGCTCAGTGGTTGAGCGTCAACCTATGAATTAGGAGGTCACGGTTCAATTCTCGGTCAGGACACATGCCTAGGTAGTGGGCTCCATTCCGTGTGGGGTGTGCAGGAGGCAGCCGATCAATGATTCTCTCTCATCACTGATGTTTCTCTCTCATGCTCTCCCTTCCTTTCTCTGAAATCAATAAAAATATTTTAAAAATAAAGAATAGCAGCTCTTGGAGAAAAGTCTAGGCCAGTCCTTGACAGCACTTTTCTCTAGGAATAAGATTGAGTTTCAGGAATAACCACTGGGTCTATTTTTACACAATTACACAGAATGTAGTATTGAGGAACTATTCACTGATTTCAAGAATAAGCAGTTCTACCCAGCTGGCATGGCTCAGTGGTTGAGCGTGGACCTATGAACCAGAAAGTCACTGTCCGATTCCTGATCAGGGCACGTGCCCAGGTTGCAGCCTTGAGCTCCAGTGTGGGGTGTACAGCATGCAGCTGATCAGATCAATGATTCTCATCATTGATGTTTCTCTCTCTCCCTTTCTCATTTTAAAAAATCTTTTTTTAAAAAAAGCATCGTTTCTTTGACTCAAAGCCAATTACTCTAAATACATAAGCAAGTTTCTACTTCAGGGTTTTCATCTAAAACTTCAGCACTAGTTTCGCCCACTTTCTCTCTTTAGTTTCTCTTAAACCAGTTCACCCTCCGTGTAAGCACTCCATCATATCATAAACTTGAAAGTTCAGAGTCAAGGTCTAAAAGAACTAAGGACCCAAAGATCTTTAATAGGACTTTCTACCAATCAAAACCACTTTAGTTTCCCAGTAAGATGAAACAGATCTCAACTGGAGAGCCAATCCAAGAAGCAGGCCTGTCAGCCTGAAGGCCAACTTTGATGTTTAGCGATAGCCCACCAGAAATACTTACACCAGGGTCAGAATTTGGTTTTGTAGGCAGACATTTAACCACTCACGTCATTTACCTCGCTGATCAAAGAACAAGAGAAGTCCAAGGCAGGTATGCATAAACCCATTACCCACGTTTGGACCACTAGTTACACAGCTGCCTACTCCTTCTCCAGAGGGAAGCAGTCACCGGCAGCACCATGGAACTACCCGGGTCACTAGCTCAAACGCAGAGTTTCAGAAGGGACACTTCTTTCTGTATGTGCATTAGCTGTCTAAGATAGTAATCGTGCCTTAAATACCTGTGAACTATGTGCCAGGGCACTGAGCTATGTAAACCAACATGGGCTGGACAACAAATCAAGGACCTTGTGACCAAGACAACACGCTCTCAAACCAAAGTACCCTGCAAACTGCCGCCTCCATCCCCCGAAACATCAAGCCGCATTCATTTTTAAGACTTCAAAATACTGTGCATGTAAGTTATTACATCCAGTCCTCAAGGGACTACGCTGTGCTTCCAAAGACATAAAACTCTAGCAAAACGGCAACAACACACCAGTAAACTTTAAAAGGTTAAGAATGACTACCCGACGAAGTCCCCTCGCCTGCCCTCTGGCAGCTCGGGGCGCCCCTGCGAAAAGGCCTGGGACCTCTGCATTCACAGACCGGCCACTCTGGACACCAAAGTCAACAGCAGAGGGAACTGTCCTTAAGCAGCAAACACGCCTTGCAGACGGATATTCTTGGACCAAAGCTTCAAAAGCTAAAACCCAGTGACTGAAATAAACAACCAATTCAATCCCGACAGAAACATCTTCGATCACACCCAGCTAGTCTGCTGGCACCTCTGCCTCCACACACAGCACCAACCGGCACGGCTCTCCCATCGCCGCTGGTGACAACAGGTATCCGTGACTTAGGATCTCGGTGGCTCTCAAGTCCACTGCATCTCGAGTCCTAAAGTTAGAAACGTAGGTCAGTAAGGGAGGTCAGGGGACAAAGGGGCGGGCCGCGAGAGGTCCAGCACCGGGAGCCTGCAGGGGCGTCCGACCAGCAGCTCCCCCGAGCATCCCTCCCCGGAGCATCCCTCCCCCGAGCATCCCTCCCGGGTCCTCCTACCGAAACCCCGCACGTAAACACGGGGCTCGTGACTCGGGCCTCCGGCCCCGGTGCGCGGAGAGAAGTTCCTCGCCGCGGCTGCACATGGCCTGCAGAAGTTCGGCTGAGGCGGAGCGCGGAGCCCGGGTGGGAGCGGCAGCGGAGCGAGCGCTGCAGGCGGCGGCGGCCGAGCAGCAGGAGGCGGAGGCGGAGGCGGGCGAGGGGGAGGGGAGGCGGCGGAGGGGGGCGGAGGGGCTCTTGCCGCCACTGCGCTCGCCGCCTCCCCCCCGGCGGGAGCCGCTCGCAGCCTCTGCACTAGTCGCTCCGCTCGCTCGGTCATGTGACCTTAACGTAACCGGACAGGAAAAGCCCCGCCGCCGCCGCCGCCGGAGACACCGACCGCGGCGGCAGCAGCAGCAGCAGCGAGAGGCGGCGGCGGCGGGCAGGGCACGGCCAGGCCGCCCGGCGGTGCCTCCTCCACACCCCGCGCCACCGCGGCACCGGCGACAGGTAAGCGCGCACCGCCTCCGCTCCCGGGCTGGCGCCCACGTGCCGCCCCCGGCCCGGGCTCCGGGAAGGCGGAGGGGCGGGGGGCACCGGGCTCGCAAACGGTTCCGGCGGAGACGGTGGCAACAAAGGCGACGAATGCCCCCGGCCCGGCTCCGGGCGAAGGCAGGCGGAGGGCCCGGGTCCCTCGGGAACGCGGTTCTGGGAAGTGAGGGCAGGGGCGCCCTGGGGGCGGCGGCGGCGGCGCCTGGCGCCGGGCTCTGGCCGCCTGACAAAACCATCCCCCGGAGCCAGGCGGCGGCGAGTCGGCGGCAGCTCCATCCGGGCCTTTGCGGGAGGGGGAGGGGACGGAAGCCGAGAGGGCGGGCGGCGGATCGGAGGGGAGGAGGGAGGGAGAAAGAGGAGGGGGCGATTCGCGTTCCGTTCCCCATCGCCGGTCCCTCCCTTCCCGCCGCCACCGCGAAGTGCGTCCTGGCGGCGGCCGGTGAGCGTCCCGCGCCGGAGCCCCGAGAGGTTGGCCCGTCAGGTGCGTAATCCTGCCGCCGCCTCCTGCTGCCGCCGCTGCTGCTTCGGCCGCCAGGCCGCGAGCTGCGGAAGTGGGCTGGGGGAGGGGAGCGGGAGAGGGAGGGGGAGGGGAGGGATCCGGTCCGACCGGAGCAGGCCCGGCCTCTCTGGCGCGTCTCCCAGCTGCAGCGGCTCCTACAGCTGCTGCCGCTACTGCCGCGGCTCCGCCTCCCGGCCGCGGGCGGGGGCGCGCACGCGCGCTTCCGGCTCCCTGGGTCTCGCGCTGTCTCCGGCTCTCGCGCGCGCTCTTCCCGCTCCCTGTCTGGCCACCGCCCGCCCCTGGCGCCGGGGCTGCTGCGCCGGCCGGGGCGTCGCGCACGGCGTAGGCGTCGGCATTGTGTTAAACTCCGCGGGACTTGGGAGAGCGCGCGCGCACGCGGGGCCGCGCAGCCCGAGTGCGTCGCCCCTCCCCTCCCGTCCGCTCTCCTCCGCTCCCCTCCCAGTCCCCGGAGGCTGGGGCGGGCCGAGGTGCGCGGCGCCCGGACCTCCCGGCCCCCTCGGGTCTGGCCGGCCCCGCCCCCTGGAGCGGGCGGAGCCGGCGGGGCGGCCGTTGCCGGTCTCTCCCGCGGGCCGGGAAGACGGAGGCCTTCCTGGGCGCCGCCGCGGCCCCGACGGCGGGTGTGGGCGCGCCGAGCGGGAGGCCTCGGGCTTCCGCCCCGCGGGCGATGTGCGCCTCCGACGGGGCCGAGCTGCGCTGTGGTTTCTGGCCGCTGCGCCTCGCGGCGGGGGTGCGGCGTGCGAGCCGCGCTCCGGGCAGCACAGCCCTCACCCCGAAGGGGTCCCCAAAAGGGAGGAAGGTCGGGGGTGCTGAGGCCGCTCCCCAGCCCCGTACAACCCCCAAACCACTGACGTTTAAACTGTCCGCAGAGAGACCTGGTGGTACAGAACATGCTCAGGAAGCGAGGGTTTTGTCGCTGGGAGCTGGTGGTGAATACAGAGGTCAATACAGAAAGCGGGGGTAGCAGAGCGAGCAAGAAAGCGGGCCGCGTGGAAATGCAGTTGTTGCCACGCCATTTGCTGCAAAAACTTGGAGCCGCCGAGCTAATGGTGCCTTAGGGAAACATCCCAGGCTCGGCTCCCCACCCACCTGCAGGGTCCATTTGCTCATCGGAAAGCGGGCTCCCTTAGTGTGAGTCTCAGTTGTGTTCATTTTCAGACGTTACTGTCTTGGTGAAATAAAACATTGAAAGGTCAGACTCCCTGGCCCCCAGAACTGCAAGGTGCTCTGGGTTTCTTAACCTTGGCGCCCCCCCCCCGCCCCCCCGCGCCCCCTTTCCTTTCAGACCATCTGTGTTGACCCCGACCCAGCTCAGGAGCAGCGTGCACATAGCACTAGCGTTTCAATCCGAGAGGCCTGAGATTTCAATAGAAAATCAGAGTTAAGACATTTTAAATCCTCATTTCTCTAATTTATTATAAACCAGAAATAATTATTAAATTTTTTTTCTAGTCTAAGTCCCCTTGGTGTCTATCCAGGGTGTTTTGAGGTCATTAAAAGATAATTTTTAAGAAAGAAAGATAACTAATACCACATTCCTTTAAACTGGGTGTTTCTCACTTACATGCCTGGTTTATATAAGGTTATCTTCTAGCCAAAGAATTGACCCGATGTTGAAACCATCATGAGATCTCCAAGTACAAGAAGTAATACGCCAGTGTTAGTGCCACCGATGGTCCCCAGTGAAGGAGTCCTTAGAGTGACCGATGAGCCACCCCCAAGCTTTATTGTCCAGTCCAGCTGCTTGCTTTGGAGTTTTCAAGTTCTCTCTTCAAAGAGGAAGCAAATAGACAGGCGCTCCACAAACTCCCACCAAAATACTCCAGCAGCAGAGAATAAGCCCTAGGCATGTTTTAGCTCATAGAATAAAAACTTCCACCGTGACAGTTTCTTTTTTATTTTAAAGAATTAACAAAATAAAACTTTGCACTGTCCTCCAAAGTCTACACTTTTGTAAAAAATATATGAAATAACCCTCTAAGAATATGTACCTGCATAAGGGGGTATGCTTTTCCCAGCTTGAGAATTACTGAAGTAGAGTTAGGAAGTTGAAGGAGAGCTCAGGCTGGTATGTCACATTGGCTGGGATCAGCTTCGTCAGACCTGGAGCCTCCCCTGCCACCTCCTGTCTCTCATCTCGAGGCCCACTCATCTGTCCCTGAAGTAACTGGGAAACTGGGCAAGTAGTGTGACACCAAGCTGTCACAGTAAAGGGAGAACTGCTGGTTGGCTGGACACTGTGCCATAAATTTCAGAATGCACCTGGTGAAAAGGCATTTATCATTTTACCTACTGCCTTACTGTCTTCAGGTTGCAAAGCGTGACCCTGAAAACCTAAAAGGAAGTTGAGAATTTTTATTTCCTAAAGAAGAAACAAAAGGCAAAGTAAACCTCCGAAGCATTAGATTGAGAACATATTTAAACCTTTTCTATGCTCGAATAGGTTATAATTCTTATTAGCAAATTAAACTTAAATAATTAAAATATTACTTTGAATCAATAGTGAATACATAAGATCCAGTGTTTTACAATGCTAATAGGTCATTAAGGGATGGAGTCAGTAGCCTCAGGACACTTATCAGGAGGTGGCAGTCTGAGACATTTACAACCTTTTTTTTCTTTTTATGGTGCAAAGGCCAAGTTAGAGGCCAATATCTATGCTCAAGTACATAATCCCCAGTTCACATGCATGAGGTATGTATCGTGTGACTTCCTCACTTCAAGAAAGGTCTGTGCAGAGGGAGGACTTTGTAAAGCACTTTCATGTGCCCGGTTCAGTACTTGTGAAACAACTGTTTTACTTTACAAGAACTTTTAGTATACAGTACTTATAAATAGTGTGCGCCCCTACGTTCTGCACCAGGCAAAGGTGAGCATCAAAATGGTCTTGAGAACCACCTCACGGTGTGTGTGTTTTCCTACACCATGCCTAGTCACTGAGATTCTCCAAGTCCCCAAAGTGTCTACTTGTGGTCTGCAGTCCCTTGTGAAACATGGGACCCCTTTGGGGCTCCCTGAGGTCAAAACTATTTTCATAATGATACTAATGTGTCATTGGCCTTTTTCACTGTTCAAAACATGTCCACATTGGGAAGATGCACATAACTCAATGAGCTGACATTTCCAAATGATCAATGGATGACGTTAAAAGTCACGTGCAGGTAAACAATTCATTTCAAGCGCAGGATAGAGCAATGAATTTTACTGTAATAAAGTAGAAAAATAGCATTTATTGATGTATTTTGAGATCACACAACTCTTAAGAAACTAACACTTGTCAAGTATTTTTGTTTTTTTTTAAATATATTTTATTGATTTTTTTACAGAGAGGAAGGGAGAGGGATAGAGAGTTAGAAACGTCGATGCGAGAGAAACATCGATCAGCTGCCTCCTGCACATGTCCCACTGGGGATTTGCCCGCAACCCAGGTACATGCCCTTGACCGGAATCGAACCCGGGACCCTTCAGTCCGCAGGCCGACGCTGTATCCACTGAGCCAAACTGGTGCTGGCACTTGTCAAGTTTTGATGTAGTATCAAAGAATATCCACAATTACCAAAAATGGCTATTAAAAATTCCTTTTTTTCCAACTATACAGTTGAGTTAGGCTGGATTTTCTTCAATACTCAACCAAGCTCTAGCCAGTTTGCTCAGTGGTTAGAGTGTTGGCCTGTGGACTGAAAGGTCACAGGTTCTATTCCAGTCAAGGGCACCTACAGGAGCCAACTAATCAATGTGTCTCTCTCATCAATGGTTCTCTCATTGTCTCTCTCCGTCCCTTCCACTCTCTAAAAATCAATGGGAAAGGATTAACAACAAAAAAATACTCAACCAAAACAAATTATCACAACAGAGTCAGTGGAGCGCAAAGTAGATGCAGAACCCAACTCTATTCTACTAAAGAGATTTGTAAAATTATGACAAGATGCCATTTCACTAATTTGTTTTGGAAAATATATTTTTAATAAAAGTGTTACGTTAGCGCACAGTGGGCTTAATAAAGGAGTCCTGATACCAAAAAGTATGAGAATCCCTGCCCTCAAATCCTATATAATAAAAGGCTAATGTGCAAATCAACCAAACAGCAGAACAACCGGTTGCTATGATGCACACTGACCACCAGGGGGCAGACGTTCAATGCAGAAGCTGCCCCCTGGTGGTCAATGTGCTCCCACAGGGGGATCCCTACTCAGCCAGAAGCCCTGAGCCTGGGCTCACAGCTGGCGAGCACAGCGGCGGGGGCAGGAGCCTCTCCCACCTCTGGAGCATGCTAAGGATGTCCGACAGGGAGCGGGTCTTAGCCGTCAGTCGGACATCCCCCAAGGGCTCCCGGACTGCAAGAGGGCGCAGGCCGGACTGAGGGACCCCCCCGCCCCCACCAAGTAAACGAATTTTGTGCACCAGGCCTCTAGTATTACTCAAGACTTTGAATGAAAACACATTTGGTGCTCCTTTCCCTGGCACACGCTGAGCTATTTCTATAGGTGACTATATTTTCTTCAGATTGATTTTACTAATCGTACAGCAGTTTTAAAAAGGCAACCTCTGCTTTGGTGGGTTATTGTAAGCAAACTAGATTAGGTTTGAAATTTTGCTGTGTGTTCATATGTAGATTTCCTTAAAGTGGATTGTAGCATAATGCCTTTAGAGTTACCACTTTAATATCAAGTCTTTATTTGCCATAAATTTCTGACTTGCTTCTCCTTGGCGCCTAAACTGTCCCTGAACTGGCCTCAGCTTATACTCAGAAACTAAAAACTAATTTTAATGTTAACAAAATATAATTGAAAAGACAAATCTTTTACAAGTTCATGTTTTCCGAAGTCAAAATAAGTGCTATTGGTTCATTTATTTCCCTCCTTTTTTAATTACTATAGAAGAGAATTGA